TTTAAAACAATTTACTGTCTTTAAAGATACCACTTTTTCAGTTAAGGCATTCCAAAGAGGTATCACTCTGTTTGAAAAAAAATGTCTTGGTTGTTTTACGAAATTCGCTTTAGTATAGTATATAGAAATGTTTTACATAACTTATATTTTTAAGTGTGCATTTGTTAATACAAATAGTATAATAATAAAAATTTTCATTATTAAATACTCATTTTAGTTTTTTTTTCATTTTTTTTTTATTAATATTCATTGAATTAAGTGGTGAACTAAATGGTGAAAGTTTAATAATATAACTAATATCCAATACCTAAATGGTGAAAGAAAAAATGTTAAAGTTTGTCAAAAAAAAACAAAAAAACTTCTGTCAAAACCATAAACTTAAAATAAATTTTTTATATGTCTATAGCAAATAATAAATTAACAATCCATTATAATATATAAATCATCATCATCATCATCATCATCATCATCATCATCATCATCATCATCATCATCATCATTTTTTTCCAGTCGCCATCAACTTATCATCTCAGTGATAAATTGTTTTTTTTTTTTAATAAATGGGATGTTACTATATTTATTTATTGACGAACATCTAATTGAAGAGGTATATGTCAAATATACCTCTTCAAAGGTGTGACAAATTGTTTTTTTTTTTAATTAAATGGGATGTTACTATATTTATTTATTGACGAACATCTAATTGAAGAGGTATATGTCAAATTTTTAAATCAAATCAAAAGCGAGTTTTATTGTTAATTCTTTCAATTTTTAATTTTTTTATTCAAATAATTTTTAATTAAATTATAAGGAAGTTTTATTTTCAAACAACTTTTATTCTAGTTAATAAGTTATTAGATATATCAAAGATGCTTATTAAATTTTATCAATATTTTATTAATTCGAAACAATTTTCCACCCTTTTGCAGAGTACGTGCAAATTAATAAAAATAACTAATATGCAATTACCTTATGACTGTAAACTTTTATTGATTAATACAATATAGTGAATTTTTCTTAATTTAGTTCGTTAAATTTATTTACTTGAAAAAAATGTATAAACTTGAAGAAATTAAAACAAAACAGAACTGAAAATAAAATAAAAGTTGTTTTGACATTTCTTTTTCAAACCTTTAAAAATAATAATATAATATTAAGTATTTAATAAGTTATTGTATTAAGATATTATGAAATACTTAATATGATATATCATAATAATATCATAATAATATTATTATCCTTTTTTCCTTCTTTCTTTTTTATTTATGTGTGTGTGTGTGTGTGTGTGTGTGTGTGTGTGTGTGTGTGTGTGTGTGTGTGTGTGTGATTATTCTCATAATTGTTAATTTATCATCATTATTATTATCATTATTTCATGGTATTTACTTAAGATTAGTTTTCAACTATTTGTAAATCACCTCGATTGTACGATCTTTATTAACTCAATTGTGTTTTTATAATTATAAAAACACAATTGAGTTAATAAAGAAATATATTCATATTATTATAATTATAGTATAAGGTATTTAATAATAAAATTAATATTATTGGTTACTGTACAGTAAAAAATAAGAACTATAATAAACATAATAGTTCTATATATTTTATTAAATTATATATATTTCAGCAAAACTTTGAAGTCTGTAATCAGCAATAATCTTTTTAAAACTTTTAAAAGTGTTTATAACTTTTAATAGTGTTTATAACAAGCTTCACTTTAATGATAATAAGAAAATTTAATAAAAAAGCATGTTTTTAAAGAAATTATTATTTTATCATGATTATATTTAAAATATTTTATATGAAAATATTTTAAATAAATAAATATAAAAGCACATTACAATACCCATTACAATACTTGTTGAAAAACATTGGTACTGTTGGTCGATATACGATGTTACAGAGAAATCTTGTGAAGCCTTATAAAAACAATTTTAAATTTTAAATTCAGGTCAATTATTTCCATAACAAATCTGTGTTCTAAAAATTGTTTAGTAAAATATTTGAAGACTTTAGAATGCAGCATTTTAATAATCTTTTGTTTTGCTAGTAATTATGTTGAAGACGTGAAAAATGTGTGTACGTAATAAAGAAAAATATACCTCACTTTTTTTCTAAAATCTTAAATATTTAATTAGATTTTGAAATGGCATACTTATCTTCGATTTAACCTAAATCTAGGTCAAGATAAATAAAAGTACCTATTAGGCATGTTACAAAACAAAATTTTTTTTTCAAAAGGTAATGAAAGTAAAAATGCAAAGTGCATGCTCTGTTTAGCTGTTTTAAAAATTAATCAAATGTCGACAAAGGAATCATTAATATATTTAAAAACTAAACATTGTGTCGATTTAAAATCAGATAAAAAACACATAAAAAACTATTTTTTTTATTTCTTTATTTTAACAAATAATTTACATATTTAATACTTTATAAATAGTTATAGGTAGTAAGTTATAATAAAAACATTTTCATAGTCTGATGATAGCAAATTGTTTGCTATTTCTTATAAACTATACTACAATAGCCATTCATTATGTACACTGCCACCGGCAGATAAGAAAATCTTTGCAAGTTATGTTAAGATAATGTTTTGCGTTTGTTGCTAAGATAATTGTTGTTAAGATAATGTTTTGCGTTTTGACCACCACTTTTAGGGGTTTTCTGTCCATTTTAAGCAAATAGTTTTATGCAAAAACTAAGTTATATATATTTTTTATTTTTTAAAAATTTCTTTGCTTCCAACAAGGCTGCAAGCAACCATTAATTAGAGTTAGAAGTTACTGGAAGAGAAAAGATAAAAATTGTAGAGCGATGAATTATATACCCTTCATCTTCTAGGATTAATTCTTACTTCCAATTTTTCTTGGAAACCATATATATAACTCGTCACAAAATTAGCATCTGCTAAAGTTGCATCTCTTTATCAAGCTTGACACTTTCTTACTCCGGATTCTATTCTCTATCTCTATAAATCTCAAATCCGGCCTTGTATGAAATATTGTTGCCATATCTGGGGCGGATCTTCTAATGATGCCCTTTCTCTTTTAGACAAGGTGCAAAAACGCATTGTAAACAACCTTCAATCATTATCACATCATCGTAATGTTGCTTCTCTTTCTCTTTTCTACAAATACTATTATGGGCACTGCTCTAAAGAGCTAACCTCTCTTGTGCCATCTACTAAAATTCATTCTCGTGTTAATTGTCATTCAATTATATCTCATCTTTTTTCTGTGACTGTTCCTAAGTGCTCCAAAATTTCTTATTCCACTAGTTTTTTACCTCAAACATCAGTTCTTTGGAATTCAATTCCATTATCTTGTTTTCCAGATTCATATAATTTGCAATCTTTTAAGTCATCTGTCAATCGTTATCTTGCTCTACAATCTTCATCTTTTCTCTTCTAGTAACTTCCAACTCTAATTAGTGGTTGCTTGCAGCCTTGTTGGAAACAAAGATGTTTGAAAAAAAAAAAAAAAGCTATAACAAAGGGCTCCATATATGGCCTTGGCAATGCACACTAAAGTATAAACAGGGACACTATCCATGCACAACATGGAACTGTTAATACTTTGATATTTTTTAGCTGTTGATAGAATTAGCCTCTCTGAGATCTACCACATAGTTTAAGAAGCCTGACTACCATCCAGTCTCAAAACCATAAAACTCAGTTGTAGAGCTGTACCCTTATTAGGAGATAATAGAATGAGTTAGGTGATAATGGAATGAGTAATCATAAAACAGAGACACAAGCAAAACCCAAGCATTGAGTCAAGAAGATCCTGCATTTAACATACTAAATTGGAAACATATACTAAATTGGAAACATATATTAAAAATATATCTGCGCCAGTCTAATAGATGCAGAAGGGGTGCTAGGCTGGTCAACAGATAGAATCTGTTTACCCCTTAAGTCTTTGCCTAGAAGGCCTTCTATAAGACAGTAGCCTGATTTTTTAACATCTGCCCAAAATGAGTATTTTTATCGAGACACTATCTAGCTTTAACTCAACCAAGAAGCCCAAGGCAGGGGGTCTTTTAAGTAGTAGTTGGTATCTCCTAGCCTTTACCTAAAAAATCATATCCTACAAGGCATCAGGACATGAAGCAGGTTGTACTGGGTTACATGTTACCAGTAGTAGGATAACCTGACCTGACAGCAACAGGATAATCTGACTGCAACAGGATAACCTGACCTGACCAGTAGCAAGATGACCTGACCTGACAGCAGTTCATTTGTCTTTAGGCTTTTCTTCATATGTGTGCATGTTTTTTTGTTGAGATCAGTTTGATTGTTTTCCTTTACATTTCTTTTACATAAAAGTCGAGATAAATGATCACCAATGTTACTAAGAATAGGTGATGGTTTATTGGTGTCAAGCAGCTTTCTTGAGTAAAAATAACCTTCATTGCCTTGATCTTTCTCAGAGCCTTATTGTAAATTTATTTTGCTTGTTGTGTTTTAACTAATACCTTAAAATTAGTTTAAGAATGTATATCAAAAAAACCTGCAACTGTATTATTGAGATTCTCATTAAAGTTAAGCCATGCTTAAGATTCAGGTTGTAACAAAGATATATTTTTTAATAAATTTAGAGTTCTTTGTGCTTTACCTAACTGATTACTTTTGTAATCTATTTGAATGGTTTGAAGAGTATGATACTTTTATACTACAGTTAAAACAATTTGATGTAACACTCAACAAATAAGGCGCATTGTGACACGGCCTAGTTAAAAATGAAACAAAAACACTCACAACATAGTTAACAATTTACAAATTCAATAAATAAATTTTGTGTCAATCTGATGGTATTAAAAAAAGCTTAATGGTGACAACTTATTTCTGACTTTATTTTTTCTAATTCTGAGGGCTGTATATGTGTTATCTATTAAATGTATTTTATATTTTAAATTTTTATTAATTTATAGGCCATAGTTCTATAATTCTCATAAAAGTGTTTTTATCAAGGTTATAACTAAAATGAAATTTATTTAAGCTCAAAATTCAGTTCGTTCTGGCAAATCTATAAAAAGTAGAAAACTAACTTCATCATCTAAAAAAAACATAAAGAAAAATGGTATATTTTTTTTTCTATGAGTTTAGTCATTAGTGGTATAGTTATTAATATTTTTATTATTATCAATATTATTATTGTTATTAATATTTTTTTATTATAATATTTTTATTATTAATGTTATTATTGTTATTGCCATTAATGTTATAATTCCTTAACATTTGTAGTATTTTAATGTTTTAATTTTTTAGGCAAGAATGTCACACCTTCATTACCTTGCTTTTCTCCAAAAGAAGGTAGGCGCGTCAAAAAGTAATCACTTCTCTTGTTTCCCTCTGCATTTTTCTGATTTTTTATCAAAAAAGTTTTTTTTTTTAATTGTTATCTTAGTTGGTTCAGATCTTGTTTTTATAGCTCAAAAGTAGATGCATCTAAGATTTTTTGTGTGTGTGTGTGTGTGTGTGACAGCGTAATTATATAATACTAAAGGTATGTAGTATATATATATATATATATATATATATATATATATATATATATATATATATATATATATATATATATATATATATATACACTACATACCTTTGTATGTAATATATATATATATATATATATATATATATATATATATATATATATATATATATATATATATATATATATATATATTTATGTATATATTTATATATATATACATATTTATATATATATATATATATATATATATATATATATATATATATATATATATATATATATATATATATTTATGTATATATTTATATATATATACATATATATATATATATATATATATATATATATATATATATATATATATATATATATATATATATATATATATATATATATATATATATATATATATATATATATATAAGGCTGCATTAGACACACACTGGTGATGTCATACTAAAATATATAGCTGTGGGGGCTTCAGTACATACATAGTTTATCATTTAGCCTGCTGCTGGTCAGAGTGCAGCTACATCAATTAAAAGTTTGGCATGGGACAGCAATCTTTTCTTTTATTATTCTTAGTTTCTTTCTTTTTTTTAAAATTTAAAGCACACTGATTTTTGTGTAGAGTGCTACGTGGTGATAAAATAAATCTTGTTTTAAAAAATCACAATAAAGAATTTTTTTTTCCAACAATTAGTATATAACCTTAAATGTCTTAAAAAAATAATGAAAGATTAAATGAGTAGAAAAAGCTATTAATAGATTTTAAAGTAAGAGAAAAAAGCGTATAATTTGGTTTAAGAAAAGATGCTTCATTATCATTATTTTTTGAATACCTTGTAGTGATCCAAAATTTTAGCAATTAGTTTTCAATGGGTTGATCGCAAAGCTGATTTAATATTTTATAGCATCAACGTTTATTTTTTAAATATTTTGCGCAATATAAGCAAATTAGTTTAATAATAATCGAATTAGCTGACTGTTGAGAAGGAGTAATTTGTTTTTTCTATTAATTTTATTTTATATTTTTTAATCCTTGTCAATTGTTTTTATTACATCCATCAAGATAAAAAATAGAAAAATGCTGAATCAAAAGAATGACAAGTAGAAATCATAATTAAAAGAAATATTAGGCTAAAGGAAATTCTAGACTTCAAAGACAATGGTGGAAAAAAGATTTTCGAAAAATTGCAGCTGAAAGAACAAAAAGTTTAGAAAGAAAATCTGCGGCAAAAAGAGGTATCTTAATCTGTAGAATAAAATCATCATTTGCAAATATGCAAGTTAAAGGAAAGTATATGAAAAAATTGAATTGCTCTCTTGTTCAGACAAAAGTCTTGTTCAGAACTCTTGTGTTGTTTACTCAATGAAACTCAACCATTAACTTACTCAATTCAAAAATCAACAATCTTAGAGAGAAAGACTTCATGGTTAATAAAATTTTTTATTGCAATTATGAAATTAATCGAATTTACCTCAGAATGGCAGATTATGCTTCTGTAGTGATAGGAGACAAAAAGATTTGTGTTCAAATCCAACACATGTTATATATGCTAAAAGAAGCTTTCGAAGAGTTTAAGGTAAACCATACAGATATTAAATTAGGCCTGTCAAAATTTTGTCAGTTGAGACTAATTTACATTTGTTGTGTATCATCAATTCCTCATAACGTATGTGTTTGTATGTTACATGAAGATATACCTTATGCTCTTGAATTATTTTTGTGGGCTTTAGATGTATTTTCTACAATAAAAACGGGAAACTTTATGATTCTGAACTTCATTTGTGAAAAACCATCAAAAATTATCACTAAATTATTACTTTAGTTCGAACATCACTAAATTATTACTTTAGTTTGAACAATTTGAGTTAGACATTTCATGGAATCAGTGGCAGAAGCCTCAAGCAAAGTTGTATATTAAAATAGAAAAAGTAAACAAAAAAGGAACAATTGCAGTTTTATTATCACATATTAAAGAAATGCTTGCAAAGTTTATTATTCATAGTAATGTCAAAAGAAGCTAATCATCGATATTTAAATTAAATATAGAATCAGCAATTCAAAAAGACTCAAATAAGGCTGTTATTTTCGGTCAAAATTAGATTTCTATTTTTACATGCGCAGTTTGGCATCAAATTAAATATTTTGCACTAGTTTCTGATTCAAGTAATCATACAAAATTATCTGTTGTTCCAAACATAAAAAGAATTATCAATCTTCTATCAGGCGATAGAAGCTGGATATTTTATATCGATAGAAGGCGATATGAGCGCAACATCTCAATTCAAAAATAAGTATATTTTAGCATCAATGAAAATTTTAGAAGAAAAACATACAATTAAAATGGACTGGCTTTTTTTGCTGTAATACATGAAAAAGGATGTTTCAAGTGGTGGATGGAATTCGAGCCACTGTAAAACTTGTTGCCAGAAAAAATGTTTTAACAGAAAAATATATAATTTCATTGATCTCAAAAGTGAAAAATATATACACACACACACACATACTCACACAAATAAAATAACAAAAATATATATAATAATAAAAGCTATTTATTGCTATAAAACAAAATAACAATTGAAATAATTTATAACATAAATTTTAATGCTTATAATGTTAAATGAGAGTGTGTAATATGCACACTTTATATCAGCAATCACACTCTATATCAGCAGGTGACTTTATGTTTGCTTCTGATATATTTGTCTAATTTTTTGAATACTTCCACTGATATAGTTAGCACAATAGTTGGATGAAGATGTTTCCATACAGTGGCTATCCTATAAAGAATAACGTTTTTTTCTTAATGAACTACATTCTTTTATCAATTCCTTTTTAAATGGATTTCTTCTTATGCAGATTGTTCCAATTACACTTCAGGTTCTATTATTATTTTGATGTAAATGTTAAACACCATTTAAGTTGTATTAAAGCGCTTGATTAAATCTTCTTTTAACCTACGAGAACCTGGTATTGTAATATTAAACTTTTTTAATAATGATTCATAACTTAGACAAAAAAGGCTTCTTGTTTGAGTTGCTCTTCTTTGACCTTTTTTTAAAAGCTGATATATTGTATTTTTTTGATGGATTCCAGATTGGTGCTGCATATTTAAGAAGGAGTTAAACAGTTGAATTAGGAGTTAAACAGTTGAACGAGGAGTTGAACAGTTGAACTAGAAGGAGTTGAACAGTTAAACGAGAGTTTATATTTTGATATTATAGCAGTTGAGGTTAAAAGTTCAAAATTTTTCATGAAAATTGTTTTTTATGGAATACAAAATGATTTTGCACAGTTTTTAAGGACCTATTAACTTATGCCATCAATTCCAATTGATTTGTTAATGTTTAAATTTGGTAGTTTCTGTAATATTATGGTTTCACAAAAAAGAAGGTTTGCATAATTATTTTTTTGACTTAAGGAAAGGTTCTCAAATTCAGGAAGTTTTTTATTTATATTATTTGTTTAGACGGATTGAAAGGTTTGTTAAATATATTAGCTATTTTCTTTTTGTTTTTGATACTCATGTTTAATTTTTGTTTTGAACATACAAAAATAAAATTTTTGGTTTGTTTTTTATCTTATCAATTAATGACAATTGTATTTTCTTATTTTTTATATGCTTAAATAAATTGTTGCATATTTTTTGATAATCCATTTTTTTCTCTTTTATACTTTTATTGTTGTGTTTGACATCTTAGATACTATACAAAGTTTGTACCATGCACGATGCTTATCCTGAATGAGTTTTTTTTGCATATGTGTCAAACCATTTTGGTGCATTAATTTTTTGCTTATTTAGTGTTTTAGTAGGAATATATGGTCGACATGCTTCTTGATATATCGATAAGAATTAATAAAAAGATTGCCTGCTCAAGCCAAAATCTGAGTTAATTTATGTATACTCTGTTTTACCTATTTAAGTCAGTCAATGTATATTCACTCCACTGCACTTCACTCCACTGCATTAATCCTTTGATAAATCAATCAATAAAACAAATATTAAAAAAAACAAACAAATAAAATTGAATAATAAAAACAATAATACAAAAAATTTGGTATTAATAAAAAAGAGGATTCAATTGCATTTGTGTTTTTGCAGTAATTTAAAAAATGTTTAATTTTTTATTAAAAAACTAATTGCATTTGCAATTAGTTTTTTGGTTTTGTCATTAAGACAACAGGAATAAGTTTGATGAAAGTTATTAAAAGTGGTGTAATTTGATGTCAAAGAATCAATTTTGACTTTCTGTACTCTCAAAACCAACAATTTATAATAATAATAATAATACATGTATATATATATATATATATATATATATATATATATATATATATATATATATATATATATATATATATATATATATGCATAATCTTTTTTTTCTTTTCACTAATTTATAAAGAACTACCAGAAGAAAAAGAAAATGGAAAAGAGGTATTTTAAATATTTGAAAGATATGTTTTTGATTTGATTTTTTTGTTTTCTAAAAAATTTAATTTAAAAATTAATCTATTAAATTGAAATGAAAATTTAAAATATGTAAAAAAATAATAATATATAAAACCATATAAAAAAAAATTTTATATTTAAGAATTTTTATTAATGTTTAAATGATGCACTTACACAAATTCAACTTTTGCAGGTTAGATTTATTGGCAGGTACTCACACAGGTCTATTCATGTTCCTCATCAATCCACAATCCACATCATGTTTCTGGTAGTACAGGAGGTAGTTTTATAACTGAAATTAAAAAAAGTAAAATGATTAGTTTCCTTTACTGTAGTGGCCCACAATTGCCTAGAAAACAAAGATTCTAAGACAACAATGAAAACATGATATCTTTTTTAGTTTTATCTAAGTAGCCACCCAGTTTTTCAGGGGCTTTTACAGGGTGTCTGCCAGGCTTTTGGTAGACACCCTGCCAAAAGACTGGCAGGGTGTCTGGCTTTTCATCAACTTAATAACTGGCTTTTCATCAACTTACTAACTTATATTTTGTGCTATTTGTAAATGACTGATGGTTATCAAGAACTCATTTTAAATATGAAATGTTAAAAGTTTTAAAAGGGAAGCGGAATGCGGAAGCGGAAAAGAAACCTATTTAAACTAAAACTTTTTTAAAAGTTTTAATTTTTATACAAGGTGACACGATAATTTTTTAATTTTTTTAATTTTAATCTTAGTTTCACACTTTCATATGTAAAAATGAATAACATTTCTTTAAATGACATTAAAAATAAATAGCATTTCTTATAAATTACTTCTTTTTATGGAGACATTCTAAATCACTATATTTATTTATTAGTAATATTTTGAGACCACTAAACAATCTCATCATCAGACTATAAAACTAGATATTTTTACAAAAAGCATTTAAAAAACTTGATAAAGAAAACATATTAAATGTCAATTTTTAATCTTAATAAAATACATCATTGGTTTCCAAAAACCTGTCTTTAGATATTGACCATCATCCAAATTTTCATTTCCATTGGGTCACTGGATTAGTTTGTTTTTACTGATCTTCAAAGCTTCTCTAATTTTTCTTTCAAATTTGTTAGAACTCAAAGCTAAAACTTTGGCGTAAGTCCAGTAAATATTTCCCTGACAAAATTTTTATGATTAGATACAACAGAAATATTCCATTTCCTATCATGAATTGATTTGTTTTTTTAATTTTGTGTTTCACCTACATATGGTTTATCGCAACTACAAATTAGTTTATAAACACCTGTTGAAGTGTGGCACTACAGATTTATTTTTACTTGTGTTTGTATTGTTTCTAAAATAGAACTAGATTTAAAGAGAGCTTTGTAACCAAATTTCCAGTATATTTTTTATAAGTTTCAGCTTTATCTCAGGTATCTGCGGTAGCGAAACTATCTTCAAATCATGAAAGGTTTTTTTTGCGTCAGATATAGGTTTTGATGTTTTTGTATTATATTTTTCAACGATTTGTTTTAATTTATATTTTTTGCAACCGTTTTCAGCAAACATTTGTAAAAATCAGTTTCTTGTTGTAAATATTGTTTACTGCAAATCTTATACTTTTTGTTATTGGTAACATTAATATCTAAAAATTTGAGTGATTTATTTTTATCTTCAAGCTCCATTTTATATTAAATTTTAATTTTGTTAGTTGAGAATATCAAGTAACTTGTTAGCTTGTTCGATTGATTGAATTCGTATGTGACTGTTATCTATGTATCGTGAAAAAGATTTTATGCTATGGCAATTGCATTTTATTTATTTTGTTGCAAAAATACTTTAGTTATAAAAACCATTAAAGCAAGGAGAAGATTTCTGAAGGTCCTTGAAGAAGGTCTTGAATTTTCTAATTAGTGATTCGCAGACAAAATTGTAATTTTGGAGACAAAGATCAATAAACTTATTTATTTCTTTAATTTTAAGTTTTTTTCTTTAAGATAAATCATAATCATTAATGAGCATATTAAATAAATAGTTTTTACTTGGTATTCAGATTATAACTTGGTGTTGCTATAGTTAAGACAATTCCCATTAATTTTTATTTGACTTTTATTGTGCCGTACATGTGTCACAATAAAAGCACATAATATTCACTTATATAAAATCATTTTTTTTTTTTAAAGTTCTCTGAATATGGCCTGAAACATCTGTGTAACTTTTAATATCGGATCATTTGTAATTATTGTTGTATTTTCTATTTGTTCTTTTAATTTTGGAAGCTAATCTAAAGTTTTCATTCAAACCAGAGCCTTTATCATAAGAATAAATTTGTATATTTTTATCGAGTATAATTTATCAAAGTACTTTTATTTGAAAAGATGTAAGATTACTTTTTGGTGTTTTTTACTTTTTTAGCACACTTTTTAGTACATCTTGGTAAATTTTTATTTTTTTATTATATTTTAATTTTAAAGAAGCAACTTCGCTTTTTGTTATTATAACCACAGGAATTTTATTATTTACTGAAACAAACATTGGTTTAAGGTCTAAAAGAGATTTTTGATGTGGTGAAATGTCATCATTACATAAATTTAGTAATACAGGTTTTACTGTTTTATTTGAAATGGGTTGCAGAAATAAAATATTTTGTCTTAGTTTTTCAAATAGCATTTCAAATAACATTTTCTGTAATTTTACTTATTTTTCAGCAGAGAAAAGAAAATAGATTCCTTAAATTTTTTTAAAAATTGTTTTTACTGCTAATATAAAAGATTAATAATGAACATAATAAAAGGATGAGGGTCTCCTCCTTTTTTATTCATAAATTTTAATTTGTTTTAGAAATTTTTAGATTATATTGTATATGATATATGTGAAGATAATTGATGTGTTTTTTTAAATTTAGAATTGCAAAAAAGTAGGAAGAAAGATTCATTTACACGGTATTGTGTGTCTTTAAAGTATATTTTATAATTTATATTTTTAAATCTATTTTTAAATCTATTGTTGTCTAGTTTTGTTCTTGTATTTTTTCTTTCTTGATATTTTGTTTTAGCACAATAAGTATATTGGGCTACAACAAAATATTTTATTATTGTATTGGTCAAATCTGAATTTACTTATTTGAGCATAATATATTATTTTTTGGTTTTATGCATAGGCATAAGCATTCTATAAAATATAAATTTTGTTATTTGAAATACAATTATTTAAAATGAAGTTAAATGCAGCTGATATGAATCTTTTTGAAATCAACTCAAAATGTTTTTTTGTAAATAAAGCTAATATATAAAAAAAAGAAATCGTAAATCATTTTGAAAAGGAAGGATTTGTTATATATAATATATGACAAACTAAAAAGATATACAATATATGATAAACTAAAAAGACTTGAAACTCTTCAATCCTTTTCTGATAGAAAGCACCCTGGTTGTCCAACATCCTGGACTAGAGAAAAAAAGAGCCAAATTATCAAGATTTTTCAACATTCAAAATGGGGTTAGTCAGAGAAAAATAGGTTTTAAATTTGGTGTAAATCAACTGAAAATTGGTTGTCAATTTAAAAAAAGTTAGTATTAAATATAGAAAATGTAAAAAGACTCCAAAATTACACTATAGAACAACAATTAAAGGCAAAGAAAAGAAATAGGAAACTCGTTAACCAACTCAGTAACACAAAACCGCTTCTGGCCATCAATGACAAAAAATACTTTTGCAGAAAATTTCTGGATACTACACAAACAACGAAAAACATACCTAGTCAGGGCTAGAAAAAAATTTATAATTATAAAATTAATAAGTAGAAAAAAGAAAGAAATGTAACATTAAAACAATGGGAGAGTGGCTCAAGCTTAACAGGTCTAATTACATTTACAATGTGCTTTTAGACTTTGTCTGAGAGTATGAGGGTTGTTATTTGTCAATATAGAAATGCTAACAATATTGCAATATTTTTTTGCAGTAAATTGTGGATTTTAAGTCCAGAATTTAAATCCATAAGCCATTGCCAGCCATAGGCTATTACTGAAGAGAGATCAGATTTAAAATCAGCTGCTTGTTCTTAAACAAACCTTAGCAATCAGAAAGTGAAGATTTTTTGTCAAGACAAGAGTATAAAGTTGAGTCGTCAGCAAATAGAGCCATATTAGATAGTGCTTCCAATGCCGATACCATTTTTCAATACCGGCATTTCGGTACTGAATAATTTCAATACCGGTAATACCGGTATTATATTGGTATGAAACTTTTTTTAAATTTATTATAATATGAATAAAATCTCAAGTTAATACTAAAAATTTCATTGATTCAATATGCTTATTTATTTTATATCAAAATAACTAACTTTTTCATTTTTTGCTTTTTTCTCCTTTGTAAAATGAGCCCGTAAAAAACATAGGACGTTTAGAATATCATCCTCAATAGATGATCAAATTTTGTGATAATGTTGCCACTCGCTAAGAATCTACGCTCCAATTCAACATAAAATGTCAACAATTTTTTAACTAAATTAATGCATTTTTCAGCAGGCAACGAACCAACAACTCTCGCTAATCCAAAATTCCAACATAAAACATCTAGAAAAACTGAGAACAACGAGCTGTCGCGTTAATTTTGTAAGAAATTGGTGATCATCTTAGTTTTTAGATGTGTATTCAGTACACTGGTACGCCACTATTTGATTTTATCTCTTTTTTGCACTTCTTACATATTGCAAGTTAATTTTCTTTATCAAACAGAAAGTAAAACCACGCAGAACTTTCATCAACTCGAACAGTGCTGAACGGTTTGAATAATTTTTAGGATGTTTTATGTTTTTCTGGATATTAAGGTAATTCTATCACTTAGACATAAAATCTTGATATTTAGCTCTTAATTCAAAATGCATAAAGTTGAGTAAGCGTAACTATAATTGCTGTTGATTCTATAACTTTACATTTATAAGTTACACCATGAAAAACAATTAATAATCTATCATCTTGACATTTTTACTAAATTAAAAATGTTCATAACTGTAACGGCTTAAAACTTTTCATATTTACGTTAGTGCTAAACTCAAACATGGGATCTATAGATCCCATGTTTGAGTGTACATGTAGCTACATTAAAGCAAGTGATGTAATGATAATATTTTAAATCAGTGCTTTATTAATAGAAGGAAGACAGAATTTTACTTTGAAATTAAACAAGTTTTATCTTTTACTAAATATTTTTAACAATAATTTTTTTTATAAAAATTCAATTAAACAACTTATTATTTTCTCCATTCCAAACTCTTTAGCAAGCCTGATTTTATACTCTCATTACAAGACGAACAAACCCGGTGGGAAATGAGCTAGCGACTAGCCAGCGAATATCTAGCTAGTCGCTACTTATGGATAAAAGACGCTTTAAGAAGTAATATAGTTAGTAATACGTGTTTTACACGTTTTAAACACGTTTTTTGTCATTTAGCTATCTTTATCCCACCAGGAGCGTTGTTTATCGCGACTGAAAGTTTTAAATATAGGGGAAAGCGGGGCAACATTGCGAATGATTTGAAAGGCCTGGAATTTTTTTTAAGCGCAAAAAGTAAACTTATGTGTATAAAATTGCGTTAATAAAATTTCAAAAAACCAATTGGTGTCTTAAAATATAAGACGCAAATACAGTTTTGTTTTCATCAAATTTTAAGATTTTTTGTTGAGTTGTTATATGAAAACCCATCTTGCCCCATTCGCCATGTTGCCCCGCTTTCCCCTATCATTTAATTTCGAAATTTGCAAAAATAAATCTTTCCTATCTGCTATACCTCAAGCCCTCTACATATATTTTTAATACCGGTGTTGAGCCAAACCAATACCGGTATTTCGGTTTTTAAAATAGTCCGGTACTACCGGTATACGGGTATCGGTACTACCGGTATTGGAAGCACTAATATTAGATTTCATGGAGATGGTTATCGTAGATAAAAACAATACATGTGCAAAAGTAGACTCTGTAGTACCCTTCAAGTTACTTGAAATAAAGAGTGTAAGCCTTCCAGAATAACTTTACTACTCCAGTTAGAAAGAAATAGTTTCATAACCTCAAAACCTTTATATAAAGAAACTAATAACAGAGTAAAGACTAATTATAGGATAGTTGGAGAGGTCAAAGTGTTTTCTAGAGTTTTGAAAAATTGGAACCACTTTTTTCGCCTTAAAAGTTTTGCAAAAATTGAAGAATTTTCTGGTAAACACTTTTTTAAGACTGATGGAAATCTTGAATGGAGCACAAACTGTAGAAGTGTTTAATTGAGAATTAACTTTAGTATTGGAAGCCACAGTGATTTGGATGTTTAGCAATGGGTTAATCTGTTTAATTGGTATGACAGGAAGAATATGGCCTTTAGATTCAGTAGTCAAGGTTTTTTTAAAGTTTTTTCTAAATAGCTGCACCTTATTCCAGAGAGAAAAAAAAGATCAGACCCATGAATCAGAGATTAAATGTTAGACTTACTTTAGTTAATGACACTGTTGAATACTTACCAAGTCTCTAGAACCTAACATCTGATATACGATATAAGATTTAGTAAACTGAGATTAACAGAGCTTATCATCATACAGATTTTTTTTTACATTAGCTTCTTACAATAATAAAAGGCTATTTGATCTTAAAAAAGATGTTCTTGTAAAAAAGATTAATGTTTAATAAAGCAACTGCTCAAGATGGTGAAAATGTGGAGTAAAATGAGGCTTGACTTAAAATTGAAGAGAAGTAATAAAAGATTCCAAACTTTTATTCCAGAAGGAATAAAAGCTTCCGAGATGCACTTTATGCATACATATTATGGATGTAAACATATATGTTTGCTATTTATTTAGATGCTGGCATATAATAACCTTTTATTATTATATAAACTTTATTATTTATATGGTGTAGTGTTTGCCCAAAGAGAAGATGATCAGATGGATGTGTGGTGTAACTCTAGCAAGACAAGAAAAGGAGGCATAATCTTAGACAAAAAAACTTTGCATCGAACAACGTTTGTTAGAAAAGATTAAAGTAATTTAGGTATCAGCATGTAGAGAGGTAGCAGCTTTAGTAGAAAATTGTAGTGGTAGAAGTAAGAAATCTTTAAACAAGTTCCTTACATTTTGTATAAATGAGTTTCAGTTAAGAAAAAAAAAAGATTAGATTATTTATTTTAAAAAAACAACATAAAAGAAGAAGACTAAAGCCTAATGATGATGATGATGATAATGATGATGATGATGATGATGATGATCATCATCATCATCATCATGATTATCATCATCAGGCTTTAGCCTTCCTTTTTTATGCTGTTGTTAATGGTGATAACAATAATAATGATGATGAAGATGATGATGATGGTGATGATAATGATGATAATGATGATCATCATTATAATGATAATAATGATGATTATGATGATCATGTTGATCATAATGATGTTTATATATGCATATATATGCAAAGTATAACATGAATTTTGAATTAAAATAATATACTTTAATATGTATAAATGTTTATGCAGCCCCGGTCACAATCCCGGGCCCGGTTATATTTTATCAAACCTAGCTCCAGCCCCAGTCAAACATCAAGACTGGTCCTCACTACATGGTATCACATCCTAATTACTGTCCAATGTTGCTTGAAATGTTACATCTGGCAACTTCAATATTATTATCTTCATGTCACCAAAAATAAATGACATAGATATTTACATTTTAAGTGACATATTTCAAAAGTTAAAATCTGGTTTTCTAATTAGTATAGGTTTAGTCTTGCATTCAACTTTTAAGATTATGCAAGGACTTTTGTTTTAAGGTTTGTTGGTATAGCAAATTTCTATACAATACTTTATCATATTGTGTACAGTAGATAAATGTTTAAAGTTTTTTGTCGAGGTAAGTTCTCTTCTTTCTCTTTCAGTAACTTCCAACTCTAATAGTTCTACAGTGACTTTTTCCAACTCTAACAGTGGTTCTTGCAGCCTTGTTGGAAGTAAAGATTTATAAACAAAAAAAATTTTTTTCATTTTAATGTCTATACATTATAATGTAAAATTTCTATTTTTACATTATAATGTAAAATTTCGAAATATGGAATGGTTATTATTATTATTTAATTAACATATTAGTTTAGTTTAAAATTAATATTTAGCAATTATTAATACTGATGAGGATGAATTTGAAAGTGAAACAGAGGATGAGGAAGAAAATGAATATTTACAAGGGTATTTTTTATTAGTACACATAATATTTTATTAGTACACATAATATTTATTTAATTTATTTATTAAACTATGATTTGTTAAAATATATAGTTTTTAGTTTTACAAAATTTTTGATTTTAGATTTTTATTTTTATCTAGACTCTTTGACAGTCTCCAAGGTCCAAAAGAGTTCAAATTTATTTAAACATACATAGGAAAAAAGTATATAACTGTAAAAGTAAATAAGTCCTGAAACCTGTTATTTTAAACCTAGAGTAAATCATGTTCTGAACCCTGTAACACCAGATTAAAAATAAATCCTGTTTTTTTTCTCTTAAATTATTTTTTTTTATAAATTACTTTCTAATAATTTATATTTTATGTTGTTGTTTAGCAATTCTGAAAATAATCCTGCAGACACTGACAAGGTGAATATAGTAGAGTGCTTTTGATAGATGACTAGTTATTAACTATTCATCTATTTTGATAGATTTTCAATACTTTAAGTTAATTTTGTTGTTCATTGTATAAAACAATTATTATTTAAAATAATTTCATAAAAAATGCTTTTTTTACATGATGTTGAATGTCTTCAATTGGAAAAATGTCTTTTTCCAAATTATTTCATGTTATATAAAAAATAATATTGTAATATAAAAAAATGATTTACATCACAAAAGAAATGTTTGAAACATTTGATTTCAAAAAACAAAATGAGTAAAAAAAATTATTGAAGCATTAAAAAAGTTTATTGAACTTTTAACTTTGTAGTTATAGTCAATAACATCAATTTATTGCTTCATGAACTTTTACAAGAAGCACTTAGAAATGCATTGGCTGCTACAACCAAGCAAACTAGCTTATTAGAATTCTAGTAAGCTAATTTCAAAATTTTATTATATGTTTATTGTTGAAAGCAGAAAATATTTAAAACAAAATATATCCAAAAGTTTATTAAAGCTTATATATTAATATGAATGACAGAAGGCTTGAAAAGTTGTAGGTTGAAACATGAAGATGAGAGAGAGAGTTCCAAAGCGTTGAAGCGCGGGGAAAAAAACTAAACAAATGAAAGGTTTTATAGCATACAGGGACTGTTACAGTAAAAGGATGTCACTTTGTGGAATGACTAATCAAGCGAGAATGAGTTTTGGTTGATGGAACTAGAGATAAAAACTCCACAAGCAGGGATCATGATAGTATTTGCACTTTTTGTCAAGGCAGTAGTATAAAGTTGAGATGTTAGCATATAGAGCTACTAAAGATATAAGGTTGTCAGGAAGATCATTTATGTAGATAAAAACATAACAGAACTGAGGATAAAACCTTAAGGTACCCTAGAAGTTACTGAAAACGAAGAAGAGTGTTGGCCTTGAGGATTATTCTAAAAAACAGATTAAAAAGAAATGATTTGATAAATTTTCTCAGATACGCCATATATAGCAAGCTTTTAAAGAAAATTAACATGAAAAACTTTATCGAAAGCTTTAAATATGTTTAAATATTATTTAAATATTTAAATATTATTCAAATATTTAAATACTTAAATATGTTACGGCTTAGAGTTTAATAATAGAAATGAGGCAATTACTTGGGCTATTTAACAGTATAAAGAGTACTATCTATGCTTCGCGTTAAGCTCTTTAACAAATTTAAAAATGAATAAAGTACCAAAAACTATAAAACACAAAAAACCATTGTCATCACCAAGTTCTCTAAACGTATCATTCACTAATATTCGTGGTCTACAAAGTAAGTTTTCTTCTGTCAAGTCTTATCTTTTGTAAAGTTCACCAGACATACTTGTTCTTTGTGAGACTAATTTAAGTTCAGCTGTCTCATCTTGTAATCTTAGTGTTGATGGCTATCTTCCTTTAATTCTTAAAGAATCTAATGGTCACATGCTTGGCCTGGCCATTTACATTCATAAGAATTCACCTATTTGTCGGGAAACTAGGTTTGAATCCACAGATTACTCTTTTATGTGCTTTTGTTTAGCACCACTTCACTCTATCACCTTTTTCTTTGTTCTATATCAATCTCCTTCATCTCAAGGCTGCACTCTTCTTGATGTTATTTCTGATCATATTGACCAAGCCCTTTCTCTTTATCCACCAGCTAATTTGGTGTTGTCAGTTATTTTAATGCTCATCACACAAAACGGCTTTGCTCTAGTGTCAGTGACTCCTCAACTTTTGTCTTTCTCAATCCCTTAAGTAATCAACTTTCCAACACGCTTTCCAGACAACCTGAATCATTTACCTTCTCTACTCGACTTGTCTTGTTTCTGATCTTAGTCAGTGCTCAGTTTCTCAACATACACCCTTAGGTGCTTCTGATCACAGCTTGATCTCTCTAAAACTATTATCTCGATCTTCTTCATTATCTGAATCCCCCTATCATTGTACCTCTTACAACTACCTTAAAGCTGACTACGACTCTGTGATTTTTTTCGTGATGGACCTTGGGTAGAAATCTTTTGTCTTTCTGTTAATAAATGTGCTTCTTACATAACTTCATGGATTCAGGCTGGCATGGAATCTTTTATCCCCTCTTGACAATTTAAGTCTCACTCTTCTCTATGGTTTGCTTGATGGAATTCCCAAAATTCACTTAAAACTCCTTAAATTTTCCAGAAATTTCCAAGGTTTTTTTTTTATTAATTTGAAAAAAAATTTATATATTTTTACATAAAATTTTAAATACCACAACATTTGCATTTGAACAAATATGTTTTTTATAATTAAAATTTTCACTAGATTAATTTTCGTAACAATTTTTTTTTTTAACTTGAAAAAATAATTAAAATTTTTTTTTTTTTTTTCGTAACTTTTGTTTTTGCTTTTTAATTCATTCAAATTAACTTTTTTAAATATTAGAAATTCATTTTTGTAAAAAGTTGAATAATCTAAATTCCGTTTTAAAAGTTTACAAAAGTTTTTGTTGTCTGTTAATACAATCAATTTTAAATAATTTTCCAGGATTTTCATAGAAAAAAATATCCGGGATTTTCATAAAGTCAAATACTCATCTATGATAATAAGGGCAAATCTGTAATTCAACCTCTCTTGTATGTTTCAGACTTTGTCACTTCACCTAAAAACAAAGCTGAATTGTTTGCTAAGAATTAACTTTTCATCAAAATTATCTCTTGATTCCACTAGTTGGTTTCTACCTGATATAGCCATCAAACAGGTTGATCCATTTTTTGACATTTTATCACTCCAGCTTCTGTATCTAAAGTGATTTCCTGCTTGGGCTCTTCCACAGCTTGTTGTCCAGACAACATAGCTGTTATAGTCTTGCAGAAGTGTCAGAGTCTTGTTTTCTAGCCTGCTGGAAAGCAACATTTGTTATCCCTATTTCAAAAATTCTGGAGAGCGATCCAATTCGAGGCTCACAGTGAACTTTAATACAGATAAAACTAAATTTTTTTCAGCCAATTGTTATCACAATAATTTAGACCTTTCTATATATATATATATGAATGTTAATGTACTCAATGAGTCATCTACCCTTCAATCAATGAGTCATCTACCCTTCAAAATTAGCATCTGCTAAGGTTGCATCTCTTTATGGAGCTCGATACTTTCTTACTCCAGATTATATTCTCTATCTCTATAAATCTCAAATCTTGTATGGAATACTGTTGCCATATCTAGGGCAGAACTTCTGATGATGCCCTTTTTTTTTTTAGACAAGGTGCAAAAACGCATTATAAACATAGTTGGACCTGCTCTTGCAGCCAACCTTCAACCATTATCACATTGTTGTAATGTTGCTTCTCTTTCTCTTTTCTACAAATACTTTAATGGGCACTGCTTTAAAGAGCTAAAGTCTCTTGTGTCATCTACTAAAATTCATTCTCGTGTTACTTGTCATTCAATTAAGTCTCATCTTTTTTCTGTGACTGTTTCTAAGTGCTCCAAAAATTCTTATTTCTGTATTTTTTTTTCCTCGAACATCAGTTGTCTGTCAATCATTATCTTGCTCTACAATCTTCATCTTTTCTCTTCCAGTAGCTGCCAACTCTAATTAGTGGTTGCTTGCAGCCTTTTGGAAGTGAAGATATATATATTATAAATAAAAAGCAATAGCCCTTGTTTCGCTGTCTTCATCTGATGCAAAATACAATTTTTTAGCCACAGCGTTCAGCAAGATAATATATAAAATGAGAAGATCAAAAACTGTAATGGTAGACACCAAGTTATTAGATACAAGATGGTTGAAGTTCAAAGAAATTTATCAATCAAAGACTCGATGATTTTGCTATTAATAGAGTGTCTGATCGAAGTTCTCAAAGATCAAAGAATGTTCTCCTGAGTCTCTTAAAAATTGAAACCACAGATGTCATTTTCCAGTAGGTAAGAAAAAATTCATTCAAGCAATTATTAATAGTTTAGAGGGATTTAAAGTGAGTTCTGGAAAACACTTACTGTTTGGACCACAAGATGTAGGTCAGTTTGATTGAGATCAAATGACTCATAATGACTTTAGCAACAGAAACTGGATTGATTTGAATGTCTAACCACGGCTTAACCTGTTTAACTGAAATAGCTATAAGATTTAATAGTCCAATTAGAAGAAAAGTTCTTTGCATTTAGTTTTGTCTTATCCTTTGGAGAGAATAGTTCAGTTCTATCAATTAGAGATGGAATGTTCAACTTACTTTTGTTAATGACGCGATTGAAGATTTTCTAAAAGTCTTTATAGCCTTATCTTTTGAAATCAGATATGAGATAAACTGTAGTTAGTAAACTGGTAATAATAGAACTTAGCACCTTTTTTCATTGGTTTCTTGCAATAATAAATACGTCTTTGTTCTTAAAAGAGATGTTCTTTTGAAAAAAGTTAAAAAAATGATTACGACTAGATATAATAGTTGCACAAGAAAGTGAAAGCCATGGAGAATGAGGTTTGAATTGAAACTAACAAGAACGAAAACAAGCTTCCATACCTGCCTGGATCCAGTAGGTTATGTTGGAACACATTTACCAACAGAGAGAGAAAAGACATCAAACCAAGGACTGTTACTAAGAAAATCATGAAAAGAATCTTTTTTGGGTAGTATTAAATAGTGCGATAATAGGGTAAGTTCAAAAAAGTATGAGATAAAAGATTTTTAGTGATCATTGCATGGTTGGAATCATTTAATGAGAGCAAGGAGAAACTAAACACAACCTTGGATCTAAGACAAGACACAAATCAAAGAGTGATAGTAATTTTTAGTCTTGTCTGGAAAAGCTTAGAAAACCTGGAGTCTTTGGTAATCAAATATTAGTACCCATCAATACAAAGAGAAAGCAATTTAGGTGAGTTTTATAAGAGATAAAATTCTAATGATGAAAAGTTATTTCCAAAAATATTTGTGAAAAAAATGTTAAAACAGTCAAGTGGCTGTGATGGTTTTTTAATGTAATATTTGTGATTTCTTTGGACATGGTTTATGTTTAAATAGAAATAGACTCAGAGCTGATTCCATCAACATTTGTTGATGGAATCAGCCACTCTGAGTGCTATCATAGAGTTCAGAAAATCTTACCACCAGCAATCTTCAGAACCATTAAACTGGTCGGAGTTTAATGGTTCTGAGGCCAGCTGAGTTTTAGAGCTGTATCCTATAAAAAGCACAAGCAAAAATCTACGAGTAGATTTAAGAAGATCAAGTATTTATCATTCTAGGCAGGAAACAATGTAATACAGTTTTAAATCTTTGCCTGCTTGATAGGTGAAGAAGGAGTTCAAGGCTGGTCAACAGAATTATTCTGCTTACTCCTATAGTATTTGACTAGGAGACCTTCTACAGGACAGTAGCTAGATGCATATAACGTCTGCACAAGATGAGTATTTTTATTGAGACACTAACTCTACCCTTTACTCAAATTATAGCCCATGTCAGGTTTAGGGTCATGGTTATTCTAACAAAAACTTGTACACTAATACCAACTAATACTAATTATATATACTAAATACTAATAAATATATATAATACAGTTATGCTATATTTATTATTTATAATAGTATGTAATTTTATAATTTATTACTATAGTATAAAAGTATACTAATACAGTTTTTTTTAGGCTCGTGATATTCTCGATTTGTACTTCGAGGTGCACAACAAGAAGCATATATCTGTTACGTCTGATAGAACCTTATCAAATCTACAAAAACCAAAAATGCCACATGAGGTTTTAGAATATTATTGTTAAAATAACTATAATTTATTTTCAAATGTTACATTAATTGTTCTTTTAGCATTGCATAAACTCATTGAACTCTCCAAACTGTTTATAAAAGTTTATTTTATAAACAAACAGCAAGCAAAAAGTAAAATTTAGTACAATGACAAGTTTTTTATAAACTATCAGTACCATCCAATACCATTATCTTTTAATACTGATATATCGCTGATAAATTTTAATACTGATAATACTCGTATAATACAAGTATTGAAAAGTAAAATGATTGAAAAATAAAATAAAATAAAAAGAAAAACCATCCTCTGATTTGACAATTGTTTGCTTTATAGTTTTTAAGTATTTGTAGGGGGTTTGAAAATTATTAGTTTATGAGTCACAAGAATCATGAGTTCCTGATGTCAAACGTTTCTTTCGATGATCTTTGATTCAATGATTTGTACTAATATGGTAGTCTACTCAATTGTTGGCTCAGTCCAACTATGCCATTTACAACAGTTGTAAAGCCTTTCAACTTTTATTGGCTAAAGTTAATAGTTATTTGTCATACACATTGCAAAACTATTAATCACAATTTTTAAAATTTTCTGCATTACAGAAGTTGAGTAATAATGCACACATGAGTAGTAATGCACAAAGTATGATTAGTAATGCGTAGTATGTTTCTGCATGAGATGTAATGCACACAGTTTGTTCATTGTAATTTAGCATAACCATAGCAACACTTTTTGAACTAACTCAATACATTTTTCAACAGTTGAACCAATAACTAGACTAACGATGTCAACCATGGTGATGTCAACCATGATGATGTCAACCATGATGATGTCAACCATGATGATGTCAACCATGATGATGTCAACCGTGTCAATTTTATTAACATATAGTAACCAGTAGTTTTTTTATTAATTTTTAATTAAAATTCTTTTGTCATTAAAAATAAATGCTTTGTAGAAACTCTATCCTTTTTGTATGAATATTACCATATCATTTAATATACCATGTTATTATAATATTACCAATATTATTTTTGTATTTTAATATTACCAGATAAACTTTCTCACAAGGGATAATTATCTCTTATAAGTAATAAAAAAATTTTAAATGCTAATAAATATTAGCATATTTTTAAGGTTAACAATTTTAGAAAAAGATAAAAAAAAATGTCTCAACTGAATATAACTATTTTCAACAATCCTAATGCTTTAATTTTTAAATTAAACTTTGTATTTAAATATATATGTTTAAGAGTTTAGTTAGTAAGAAATTTTGGAGAGTTTAGTAAGTAGACAATCTGATATTGCGTGTGTTTGTATATACAAAATTTTAGGAGTTTCGCAAGCATTTAAAAGAAACTCAGGCTAGTCATATAAATGAAACTGTTGCGTTGTTTGAACAACTTACATCTCACTTTCAAGAATGGATGTTTCAACTGTTGTAAGTAATTTTAAAAATCAAATGTTTCCATGTAACTATTATTCATTAGTTTTTTCTTATCATGCTTTAAATAATTTTATATTGTTTAAATTTTATTTTTAGATGTGGTTTTAATGTGTTATTATATGGTCTTGGTTCTAAATATAATTTAATTCGTCAGTTTAAAGAAAATTTTTTAAGTGATGCAATCTGCTTAGTTGTAAATGGATTTTTCCCTGGTATCACTATAAAGCAAGTAATTAAATTTTTAATATTAAAGTAATATAATTACTTATATTTATAATTTCTTACTATTTAAATGTTATATATTTTTACAATGTGACAAATAGGGTGTATCGAAAAACAACTTTTTTTGAATTTAAAATTGTAATAGAGCGGAAAAGTTGCATAATGATATAAAAAGTAATTGTGCCAAATTATTTTGTATTTTTTTTATGTCTTCAGTTCGCGCTAGGGTTTTATTTTTCGTAGAAAAACACGTTTTCTGATCCTTTTTACAAAATAAAAATAAAAAATTCTATGCATATACTAGAGTTGTAATAGAGTTTAAACATTAATTATTGACTAAGTTAGAAATGGTTACAATATTTAAGAAATTATTTTAATGTCTTCAGTTGACACTAGTGTGCTGAGTTTTGACGAAAAAACACTGTTACATTAGTTTCTGGAAAACAAGCTTAGCAGTTCATAATGTACAATTAAAGTTTTAATAGAGTGGAAAATGTTTTTGAAAAATGTTTAAAGTTGAGCTGTAATAAAGTTCAACTATCTGATTCATTTGTCTCTGTCTCAAACTGTCTTTTTGTATTGAATATAGGCATTTTTTTTCGCGATGTAAGTCTTGCACGAATGAAGCCGTCTCTACTAGCTAAACCGCAAACTTGATCTGAAGCTTCAGTTACAAGTTTGATGCATCTCTCTACTCCTTGAGTATAGCATGGAAAATGCTGCACATCTGGAAGATTACCATTTGTTAACATTTCAATTAGATTTTCATTTGAAATGTGAGTGGTAATCGGAGGTTCACTTAGTTCACATTTAATCCAATCAATAAGGTCTATATAGTCTGTTGCTTCAAAATTAATTTCTGGTATAGAGAACTTTCAAACTTTGTTTTAATTGATCTTGCTTTCATTATTTGTTTTAATGCAAATTTTCTCACATTTGGACGAGTATCTGATATCATACCCAGAAGCATATTTTCTGGATGTGCAAAAAAAGCATTCCTTTGTATAACTGGATCGATGATACTTTTTATTTCACTACTGGCATACCTGGATAAATTGATGGTTAGCCATAAATGTCTAGCACCTTCCGTGCATGAGGGATTATATCTTATATTGAACCACATTTGGCAGTAAACTCTAATAACAAACTCAACTATTTCTCTCAGCTTGTGCAACGGTTCGCTACATCCAACATGATACCTCAATATTCTGTTTGCAGTGGTCACCCACCTGGCATGGTTAAGTTTTCCAGGATTTCGGTTAGCCTAAGGGTTTGGACAATAACCTGTAGATATAGCTTTGCAAATATCAAGTAAGTATTTTTGATCAAGAACTGAGAGATTTTTTGTCTATTTTTGGCAATGTGACACTGATAGAAATGTAGTTGACAATTGGCAAGGTATCACACAATTTAATTTCTCTTCCAATCAGTACAGACCACCCGTTAGGTCCTGATGTAGGTCAATCTAGGTTTTGAATTAGATGCCATAGAGGCAGTTCATTAGCATGTATTTGACAAATAAACCAGTGGACAGGTCTTTTGAGTTCTAATTCAAACAAAGCAATAACACCATTACGAAATCCAGTATTGACAACTGTTCCGTCACAACCCATGGCAACTAATTTGGATGTATCAATGTTGTTCTGAGTTAAAAATGTTTTTATACTTGTCTTAATGCTGTATCCATGATATGATGCAGTCTCTACATGCCCTAGATACTTTGATCCTAGTTCTTGTACTAAAACTAGATGTTCTTCTTTGATAGTTTTTTGTATATTTTTTTCCTTGTTTGTATCAATAACAAATGTTGTATCTTTTCTTCCATTAAAATATAAACCTTTTAACATTTGAATATTTTCATGATCTAAATGTTGCATTTTAAGTCTGCTTTTCTTTCGTTCTCTTTGAATCTTATTTTTATCAATTACTTTAGATTGGTCTCCTTTTGAAATTATGTTTATGTCTTCTAGCACAGCACATGCTATAAATGCAGCACCTCTGCTTGAAACACCAACTCTATCGCAGACTTGTGCTAAGGATAGTAACGGTGATCTTATTTGTTCAGTTTTATCTTTTCTGTTTCTTTTTTGTTTGTGGCCTTCAGCTGTATCTAAATAATCAGCATCTGATTCTGAGTCAGTCCAAATCACAGTGTCATCAGAGTCAGAATCTTGAGATATAGAATAGAAACTTGAATTATGAATGCGGCTTGATAATGTTGATTGAGCTTCAATTCCTGTAATAGCACAAGGCTGTTTTGATAGGTTAGACAGCAAGGGGCTATTTACTCTGTTTTTTCTTGCTTCTTTTCTCCATAATCTTAAAGTAGCTTGAATATCGAGTCGTTCCATATACATAATCCTCATAAATCTCTGATCGTTAAAAAACTCATGTTCTTTCTCTGGTACTTTCTTTGCTTTTTCACAGATGCATTTAGAAAAATCAAGGCATTTGCATGCTGCAAAAAATTTTTAAATAAAAAACAGTGTTTTTTTGTCAAAACTCAGCACACTAGCGTCAACTGAAGACATTAAAATAATTTCTTAAAAATTGTAACCATTTCTAACTTAGTCTTTGTTTAATGTTTAAACTCTATTACAACTCTAGTATACACATAGAATTTTTTATTTTTATTTTGTAAAAAAGGTCAGAAAACATGTTTTTCTACAAAAAATAAAACCCTAGCGCGAACTGAAGACATAAAAAAAATACAAAATAGTTTGGCACAATTACTTTTTATATCATTATCCAACTCTTCCGCTTTATTACAATTTCAAATTCAAAAAAAGTTGTTTTTCGATACACCCTAGTGACAAATAATTTGCATAACAAATATTTTATTTTACAGAGTTATTAAAAGCAGTTTCACTTTGCACTTCTTATTTTCTTTTTATACTTTTATTAGTGTTTTTGATTGATGTTTATCAAACTAAATGGTTCTATAATTAAAACTTCGAAAAAAATATTTTATACTTTTCAGATAACTTTTCTTATTTTGTTTTAGATTTTAAAACCATTATTTATTTAGTTTTTTAAACCACCTAATGGTGAATGAGGGAAATTTCAACACAAGCTAGAGTCAAAGCTAAAACATAAATAAAAAAGATAAATAAATCACCTTTCCTGCTTAAATTGTGTCTAGTCCTTATTTTGAAATGAATTCCTCATTCTCTTTTCAGTGTTTCTGATATAGTGGTTATATCTGCTAATGTTGTTTGTGATATAATCTTACTAAAACTTTGTCTTATTCATCTTATTATTGTAATTCTAACAATAATCTAACAGCTGACTTTTTGTGATTTTTTTGGTAATGGTCCTTGGTCTAACGTCTTCAATCTCTCAGCTAAAAATTGTCTCAAATGAAGTCTCATGGATTAAGGCAAAATCGGAAGATGTGATCATGGTTTTCTTTTTCTTGTGCAGCTGCTATTTCTGTTTGTAATCATTTCTTAACATTTTTTTTAACAATGCTCCACCTCTCATATATAGGTTTGATCTTATTACCTGTCCCAAAAAAAAACAGATAGGTTTTTAAAAACCTTTCCTGTAATTTAATTTTGAGTCTAATAGTTACATTTTTCCTGACATTTTAGGTTAGGCAACTTACTTAAGAGATAAAAAGTTTTGATATAAAACCTCCAATACAATTGGTAGTGATGTAGTGATTGGTAGTGATGTAGTGATTGGTAGTAATGTAGTGATTGGTAGTGATGTAGTGATTGGTAGTGATGTAGTGATTGGTAGTGATGTAGTGATTGGTAGTGATGTAGTGATTGGTAGTGATGTAGTGATTGGTAGTGATGTAGTGATTGGTAGTGATGTAGTGATTGGTAGTGATGTAGTGATTGGTATTGATGTAGTGATTGGTAGTGATGTAGTGATTGGTAGTGATGTAGTGATTGGTAGTGATGTAGTGATAGAGTGCTTTGTAAATAAGAAGTTCTAATTTTGAACCTCATCATGTCCTCGGGATCGTCTTACTCAACTTTTTTTTCTATTCAGCAACCATGTTTATCAAGGATTATGTTTCAGAATTAAAGGATTGAAGGAGAGTTGTAAAGATGAAATAAAATGTTTAAATTGTTGACTTTTTGGCTGAATTGGCCCCCACAGTCTTGACAAGGTAAATAAAATAAATTAAAAATTATGGATTGTGGTAGGTACAGCCTGTTAATTTGTGGTTAATGGGTTAGGGTACAGCTTAAAAATGTTTTGGTAGTGGTATTATTTATTTATCAAAACTCAGTGCAATCTGTAGAAGTCTCAATTATAATCTGTGAAATTATGTCTGTGAAACAATTACATCTGTAAAATAAATTACATCTGTTAATAAATTACATCTGTTAAATAAGTTGTAAATGTTGCCATATTTAAACATGGAAACAACATTATTAAAACTCATCTAAATCACAAATGTGGAGGCATGTTAATTTAACTTTAAATTTATCACTTTTTAAAAATTTTTATCACTTCTTTCAAAAAATTTTCTACATTCTTTAGGCTCAGCAAAATTATTTTTAAAAAAGTGTTTTTCAGAATTTCAATACTTTATTTAATTATTGCTATTTAAGAAGTGTAAAACTTATAAAAACTTTTAAATGTAAATCTTATTTAAGAAGTGTAAAACTTATAAAAACTTTTAAATGTAAATCTTATTTAAGAAGTGTAAAACTTATAAAAACTTTTAAATGTGAAATTTTCAAAAATTCTTCAGATTACTTAAAGTATTTTCAAAAATTTTAATGACAAAATACTTATTTAATCATTTAATTTTCTCATTTAATTCTCCTTAATGCTTTAAATCCAAACTGAACATAATTGTTTACTGTTAATAATTATCCCAATAATCTAGTTTATTATTACCCTTGTCATAGATTCCCAGAATCACTCATTGCCTGATTCAATAACGCATTATCAATGAAATATTTTCAGCTTCTTTAAGTAATAAATTAGTTGAAAAAGCCAAAGTGCTCATAAAACTACAGGCAAATTTTTTAGGTAATTTTTTATATAAATTAACAATTATATATAAATGTAAATCTTGAAATAAAACTAAAACATCAAGTAAAGTTACCACATTTTCCACTTATGCCATGAAATTTGTTTAGCAATTCTACTAATCAACTTATTTATTTTATAGAAAAATATTGAATCTAATAAAATAACCATTGGATATAAATTACTAAATATTCGTTAACAAGAAATTATTGAACAGTTTATCCACTTATTTTTTCATTGATAAATTATGAAAGATCACTGTCACTTCTTGATAATGATAAATCATCATGGATAAACATGACAACTCTTTGTAAAAGTTATAACAAATGTCATTACTTTGGTGGACATTCAATGTCAATTCACATTATCTTCTATGAAAATAAACAATTGCACTAAATTACCACAACTTTCTAGTGCATTAAAAAACAAGTGCATGAAAGAAATATATTTGTATCAATTATAGTCTCCATAGCTGTTTTATGTAAAAAAAATGTAAATTATAAAACATTCAAAATAAATTTTGATTTTAAAAAATTTCCATCTATGTTCATGCAGGAAAATAAAAAAACAAAAAATAAAATTAAAATGTTGTTTTTAAGAAAGTTTTTTAAAAAGAAATCTAATTGAACAAGAGAATTTTCATCTTATATAAATTATTTTGAAAATGAAATTTAAAATTAAAAAAAAAAAATTTTAACTAAAATTTTTTAACTAAATTAAAAGAATTTCAATGCTCGTTTAATTGCAGCAATATCCATAATACCCAGTGGCAAATCATAGATCATTCCTGAAATTAAACAAACATAGATCAAGCTACAGTAACATTTAGAAGATAGTGCAAGCAAGAAAGAAAGTTTTGTTTAGTTTTCATTTTGAATAGTTTAATATATTTTGTAAAGATGTCATTATATTTTTTTTCTTGAAAACAGTTTTAAAAACAGAAACATTCAAACATATTGCAAACATTAAACCAGTGATTACTGCAAACATCGAACCAAAAATTAAATTTTTCTTAAAAAATAATTTAAGCATATACTTGAATTTATGGAAATATATTGCAACTTATTAAACCAAATTTTTTTCTCTTACTTTTACTGCTAAACAAATAGAATGAAAAAATTGAATGAAAAAATTGAATGAAAATACCAACAGAAAACGAATGAAAAATTTAATTATACTTTTAGTACGATCAAGAAGCAATAATTTAGAAAAAACGTGGTATCTGGTGTTTTTTATCATATTAAGTAAAAACAATTTTTTAATACCGTAATAGTATTAAATACATTTACATTATAAATGTGATTATTATAAATGTAATAATAATTACACTATATCTTCAACTTAAACTTTAACTTGAGCTGTAAGTTGTAACTGTAACTTATGCTTTTTTAAAGCCCGTCAAACAAGGACATGATAAGATAATATTTAAATATGAGATATATTAAGTTAAAATAATAATAATTACTTATGTACAAATTATACGGTTACTAATGTACAAATGTACGGTTTTATACTAATACAACCAGGGACACCAAGGATAAAAAAGGGCACCAGGGATAAAAAAGATGGGGAAATTTGGGGGAGAGGGTCAAAATTTATTTATTTTACAATTAGATTTGATGTTAAATATAAGTTTATATATAAATCTTTTTTAGATATTAAATACCATCACAGAAGATTTACTTGAAAAAGATATTCGATTTAAAAGTATTATTGATCATAGTGTGTTTGTAAAGAAACATTTCGATTCAGGTATTTTTTTATTCTTCACCAGAATTAATTTTAACTTATTTAATAGTTAGTTGTTTAGTAATAATTAAAAGCTAATTAATTGTTTAATAATTATCAAATGTTTATTTATATAGTAAGAAGGTCATTAACTTTATAACATTCAAAAAAATTCTGTTATCTATTGTTATATCTGTCTTTTAACATCTCTGTAATTTCTATTATAATCACTATCACTTTATTTTTTATAATTACTTTATTTTTTATAATTACATGTTTTCAATACTGCTCTGTTATTTGATTTTATACTGCTTTGTACTTTTAAAATGCAGTTTTCAATACTGCTCTGATCATCATATCCAGTTATTTATACTACTTTATTCATTACCGCAACTTCAATACTACTTTATTCATTACCGCAACTTCAGTACTACTTTATTCATTACCGCAACTTCAATACTACTTTATTCATTACCGCAACTTCAATACTACTTTATTCATTACCGCAACTTCAATACTGCGTCACTTACCAATAATTATTGTTTATAATTTTCAATTATTTTTTGTTAATTTACATCTACTAATTAACATTACCATATAACATACTATTTCAATCTGTTTAACAACTTTGTCAATGTATATATAAGGTTAAATAGCTGATTAAATAATATAATGAAATTATCTTTATTTTTTGTCTCACTCTTGGAGAAGGTTAAAGTTTTTTTGGTTGAGGTTTGCTTCATCCATGAGATGAGACAAGTTTCTCCTTGAATGAGATCAGCTCTCATATCATTACTTTCCCTTGGATGATGTCAGCTACCCCTTGTAGAAGGTATTAAGAATATACATATTTATTCTTATCTAATTAATTTATATTCCAGATAAATCAAATAAATTATTTGTCATTATCCACAACATTGATGGCGCCATGTTACGCTCCACAAATGTAAGAACTTTTATTTTATACTTTTAGTTTACATTCACTGTGTTAACATCTTTATCTAAACTTCATGGATTTTAGTTTTAACTTCATAGACATTTTTTTAGAGTTTTGTAATTAGATTGTGTTATTGTTATTATTTTATATAACAAAAAAATATTTTTGTGATGTGTGGTTTGAAATATTTTTGTGATGTGTGGTTTGAAATATTTTTGTGATGTGCGGTTTGAAATATTTTTGTGATGTGTGGTTTGAAATATTTTTGTGATGTGCGGTTTGAAATATTTTTGTGATGTGTGGTTTGAAATATTTTTGTGATGTGCGGTTTGAAATATTTTTGTGATGTGTGGTTTGAAATATTTTTGTGGTTGTTATTGTCGATTAAAGTTCTAATATTATAATCCAAAATATTTTGTTTCTTTTTGTTTTAAGTGCGATTATTTCAACGGTTATGAACAGTATTGTGAAAATTAAAAATTATTCCTCCAAAACACTTTTTTTCTTCAATTTGTTGTTTTACTAAATGTTTTCTATGATATAACAATGATTAGAAAGATAAAAAAAAAAAAAAAAAAAATTCAATAAGTAATGATAGACACTACACCAAAAAAAAAGATCTGATGGATGCGTATCATGGTCTTGGGGCATGTTTTAATGTATCATGTGTAAAGTGTATGAAAAGTTAAGTTTAAAATTTACAAATTTTAATGAAAGCTTTTTAAGTTTCATAAATTATTTAACAAAAATAATAAAGCTGAAAAAAATTAAATTAAATTTCTTTATTTTTAACAGTATATTTTTTTCTATATTAAAAAAAAGATGTTTTATCTAAGAAATATTTTTTACCCTTTTTCTGGTTTTTTTGTTTGTTTTTTGAGATTACCAGCATAAACTTATCATTAGAAATTTTAGGTTCAAGCTGCATTATCTCACATTGCCAGCGCAAAAAATGTGCATCTTATTGCCTCAATCGATCATATAAATGCTCCATTAAGTAAGTTTGCCAATAAACTTTTTTTTAACATTCTTTTTTTTTTTTTTTTTTTTTTTTTTTTTTTTTTTTTTTTTTTTTTTTTTTTTTGAAAATATAATAGTTAAATAAAAAATTTTAACAGTCTGGGACCAAAGTTGTCTAAGTTTGTTTAACTGGGTTTGGTATGATGCAACAACATTTGATTCATATGATCAGGAAACATCTTATGAAAACTCTTTACTGGTTCAGCAATCTGGTACATTAGCCTTAAGCTCTTTAGCTCATGTTTTGAGAAGTTTGACTCCAAATGCTCGTGGTATTTTTAAATTGCTAGTTAACTATCAGCTGGACAACAAAGATAGCTCCAGTTATCAAGGTAATATTATTCAATCAAATTTTTTCATATCTTCAATTAATATTTTTTAATTTATATTTACTTTTTTAAAGCTAGGACCCATTATTATTAGTAGAAAATGAGTTGGCGGAGATAAAGTGGTAATGAGATGAGATGTTAAATATTTGCTCAATTTTACTTCTATCAAATACTGACATCTTAAGATTTCTTTTTTATCTTTATTTTTTTTTAAACAATGTAAATAAAGTTTAATAGTAAAAATTATGGATATTAGTTTTGGTTATCAGAAATTTTATTTAAAGCCTCCCTATAACCAGCAAACACTTAAAGTAAGAATACTCCTCAAATATTTCCTGAAATCTTTTTTCTTTGACATATAAAAAGTTTGACACTTGAGATTTAAAAACTTTAATTGTTTTCATAATCTTTGTTTGATGCTGTAACTGTCAATTTGATAAATAACTAATTATTTATTATATTTTAAAATTAATAACACAATTAATTTTTTATTTAAAACTATTTTTTTGCCATTATGTTTATATTAATATTACAAAAGTTTGATTCTTTTTGTAAAATTTGGTGTAGAGAGTGCTTTTTTAACTTGATCAACTTTGAAATTTTTTAGTCATAAAGATGTATTATATGCTATGTAAGTATGATGATCATTGTTTAGATTTTTAAAAGAGTGACCAGATAAAAAATCTTAGTTAAAAAACCTTAAATATTATTTTTTTAATCAATTACAAAAATATGAAATTATTTTAAATTTTAAAAATAAAAATGAAATGTTTTTTTTTTATATTTCAAATAAGATTACCCTATTAATTTGAAATAATTTTGATAAAGAATTGCTTGTGGGTTTAATATCAAGGAATACTGATAAAGAATTGCTTGTGGGTTTAAAATCAAAGAGTTATGGAGTTAAGCAAAAAAGGTGCTTTAAAACATCTTAGAATGAAGACAGAAATTTATGTTTAAATTATGAAAATATTTATTATATATTATTAATGTTACTTCCTAAATCCTTTAGATTTATAATAACTTATCTATATTATCTATAATAGTTTAACTGAATTTTTAATATATTTTAACAATAAAATATTTATTCTTAAATACATTTACACAAAAAGGTCAAAATAAACATTAGTTTCTCAATTTAAGAACATTCTTTAACTGATTAGAAAATACCTTTAGATGTTTTTGGAAATGGGAATAAGATCCTTTTGAAATATATGTTTTACACATCTTTATGCTTATTAATTTAGTACAAATTTAGCTGTATTGATTTTTGAACTCATAAACTTAAGGATACTTGTTCTTAAGGATTTTAACTTAATGATTGCTCGTTATTTCTTCTAGGAGTGAGATAGAAAGCTAAGAATTAAAATTTATTTTTAAACTTTGTTTTTACTGTAAATGGAAACTTTTAAGTATTAACATTTATAATTTTAATTATTCTTAATATATTTTTAAAAAATATCTTAAGAATAATTATAAATATAATTATTCTTATTAATTGCTCTACTGTAATCTCCTGATTATTTTAAACTTATTCAAATTTCTCGCTTGATCAAAGCAATTTTCATTCCCTGGATTTTTCCTTAAAAACTCACAAAAATATCTATCAGTTATTCAAACCTGTATTTATTCAAAATTTTGTTTATTGGAGATGCTTTTTTGCTCCTCTTTAGGAAAGCTCTATTAGTTATTCCAAGTTTTTTTTTTAATTAAAGATACGGTTGCATTGTGCTTTAAAATATAAGAAAAAATCAAACACATTGCAACGTAGTGCAGTAAAATTTCAACATGGCATCTACACAAAAGAAGACAGTCCTGACAATTAAAAGAAAATCTTGATCAAAAAGATTTGGAAAAATCATTAACTAAAAAGAATGTTGTTGAAAAGTGTAATAGTTATTAAGTAATAAGTGCTTTAAAATGACATAATCATCTAGCATGTGATTGGTTAATTGTGAGAAAAGACGTTAATGAAGCTGTGTATAAATGGTTTATAATAATAAGTGGTAAGTAATAATAAGTGCTTGTATGTATGTAGTATATGCGGTAGTGGTGTAGTGGTAGAGCGCTCGCTTCATAAACGAGTGGTTCCGAGTTCGATCCCCACCACGTCCCTGGTAGAACCGCGCTCAACTCTTTTCTCCGCGCAGCGGCCTTGTTTGTCAAGGTTCGTGTTTCGGAGTTATAGAGTTGAGAGAGGGTTATAGCCAAAAAATTAGTAGCCTCCTCGTCTGTAGTGGCCTTCTCGGCCTTGAGGAGGTGAAGTAAAATAAAAAATAAAAAAAAAATAAAATATGTAATGGTAAGTATAGCTTGTATGTATGTATGTAATATGTGTAATGGTAAGTATAGCTTGTATGTATATATGTAATATGTGTAATGGTAAGTATAGCTTGTATGTATGTATGTAATATATGTAATGGCTTGTATGTATGTAATATATATAATGGTAAGTAATAATAAGTGCTTTAAAAAGACATAATCAGCAACCATGTTTTTGGTTAATTGGGAGAAAAAACATTAATGAAGCTGTGTATAAATGGTTTATAATAATGGTTTATGAACATACATAAACAAAATGTAAGAATTGGTGAACACATTAGGAGAAAGACATTAGATTCAGAGTTGTTAGTCCTTGGCCTTGACCTTGCCTTAAGGCCAAAAATTAAGGCCTTGGCCTCGGTCTTGGTCTTGAAACTGTTGGCCTTGGTCTTGATTGTTTTAGCCTTGGCCTTAAAAAAAAAATACATATTTTCTAATTGACTTTGTTAAATTCTGAGCATAACCTTGGTCTATTTTTAGAAGATGTGATTTTATTGTCCGAGCACTTGCTATTTACAGTTTTCTTAATTACGCCCTTAATGTAAGGGAAAAATTGAAGTCTTTAATCTTGAAAATGTTTGGCCTTGTAACGTTTGGTCTTTACCTTTCTGCTTTTGGACTTGTTAACAACTCTGATTAGATTTTGCAAAAAAAAAAAAACTCTACATAATAGATTTAAAAGGTTTCAAAAAGGTAGTTAGATTATTGGAAAAATAAAAATGTTGTTTTACAAACTATTTCTGGCAAGGTATGGTCATGAGTTAGGGTAAAGTATAGGGTTAGGGTTAGTTCCAACAGCAAGTTGGAAGTAGATCCATTTACTCACTATCCACTCAAGGTATGTTTTAAGGAATATTCACAACTCTGATAAGTTTAGTTTATCAATAACTTCTTACAAATTTTGTTCACCGTAAAGGTGAATGATGCAGAGGAGGAAATTTTAACAAAGTTTGTTTAACAGTCCTAGTAGCAAGAAATGGAGTTGGTGAAAAGTTGCCCATGTTTATAATTAGAAAGGCAGAAAAACCCAAAAAAATATTTCAAAGTTTATAAATATTTCAACAGATATATTTCAAAGTTGTCAAAAGTATACCTTGTTAGTACAAGTCTTAAAATAAATCCTGGACTCTAAAGACTGGACTCTAAAGACTGGACTCTAAAGGCTGGACTCTAAATTTTTTACTGATTATGTAAGAAGGCAAAGACTTAAGGCAAAATTCAACATATAAGTTAGGAAAGTTGCTCTAATCATAGATAACTGCCCAGCTCCTACTAGCATTGACACCCTCAACACAATAAAATTTGTATTTACACCATCCACACATCCTCCAAAACTAATACTAATAGACCAAGGAGTCATAAAGGTAATGGATTTAAACATATATATATATATATATATATATATAAACATATATATAAACATTTTAAACAACTTTAAAAGAAACCATCTACTGTAATGAAAATGTTAAAATTGTACATGCTTTGAATGACAAAACTTGTAAATACTCAGCTATTAGTTAAGTTAGATATTAGTATCGATCTTATTATACATGTTAGTATGAATCTTTCTATACATACATGCTAAACATGATTATTTTATTCTATAGCCTTACTTTTAACTAACTATGCAACTGAAGAAAGTAATAATATAATAATATCAGAATTTATAGGAAGTAATATATTCTGATATTATTATATAGTAAATATAATAATCAGAATTTATAGGGAGTAATCGAACCACCCAAACAACTTTTATTTTATTTTTAGTTCTATTTAATTTCTTCAAGTTTATACGTTTTTTTTATAAGTAAATCTTATAATTAAAACTTAACAAACTAAACTGAGTAAAATTTTGTATTAATGCAGATAACAGTTTACAGTCATATTAATTTGGTTATTGCATATTAATTTGTGCTCACTTTGCAAATGCATGAAAAATTGTTTTGAATTATTAAAAAAATTGTAAAATTCAATTTAAGCATCTTATATTTAAAAGTTTTTTTAATTATGAAGAAGCATCTAATAACTAAATTCAATTTAAGCATCTTATATTTAAAAGTTTTTTTAATTATGAAGAAGCATCTAATAACTAAATTCAATTTAAGCATCTTATATTTAAAAGTTTTTTTAATTATGAAGAAGCATCTAATAACTAAATTCAATTTAAGCATCTTATATTTAAAAGTTTTTTTAGTTATGAAGAAGCATCTAATAACTAAATTCAATTTAAGCATCTTATATTTAAAAGTTTTTTTAATTATGAAGAAGCATCTAATAACTAAATTCAATTTAAGCATCTTATATTTAAAAGTTTTTTAATTATGAAGAAGCATCTAATAACTAAATTCAATTTAAGCATCTTATATTTAAAAGTTTTTTTAATTATGAAGAAGCATCTAATAACTAAATTCAATTTAAGCATCTTATATTTAAAAGTTTTTTTAATTATGAAGAAGCATCTAATAACTAAATTCAATTTAAGCATCTTATATTTAAAAGTTTTTTTAATTATGAAGAAGCATCTAATAACTAAATAGTTAGAATAAAAGTTATTTGAATAGAAAAAATTAAAAGAATTCAAAATATAACTGGCTTATTTGACATATACCTCTTAAATTAGACGTTCATCAATAAATAAAGATACGAATGTCAATGTTTAATAAAAAAAAAATTTATCGCGCCCTGCATCATTTTTGTTTTAATTTTCACGAGTTTTGTATAATGGTTTTTTTTAGTTTAATAATGACTTATAGTATATAAGTCGAAACATCACTATTAAATAATAAAAATAATATATAACGGAACATGATGTTTTTTATCAATTAAATATATATATATATATATATATATATATATATATATATATATTATATATATATATATATATATATATATATATATATATATATATATATATATATATATATATATATATATATAAGTTTAATTTTGCTGTGAGCATATATTCAGCAAGAGTGCTCGATGAATGATATCAGAGCTATATAATTGTTGTTTTTTTTTTGTTTTGTTTTTTTTTGACAAGGTTAAATAAAAAATAACTATATAATTTTTACTACTAAAAATTTCATGCGTTTAGCAATCATCAAATAAAAAATACATTGTTTTTTTTTGTTAAAAAATATTCTCAATAAACATCGTGGCGTTTAAAAACAATTATAAAATGTTAACTATTTACAAGCGTGGTTTGGTTTTTTATTCTTTGAGCTCGTGGTTGTCAAGCAAGAATTTGTTTTCATGCCGGCACTTAGATATTATTTCTGTTTTTTTATTTAATAATTCTTGCGTACCTTTGTATGATATTATGCAAAGTTTTTCATGAAGACAAAGCAAGCATTTTTGTTATGTTGCTGTAGGCTGGGAATTGTTTAATTACTGACCATGTTAATTTGGGTGTTATTTTTAAGTTTTTTTTATCTGCCATATATACTTTGAAAGGGTGGTTGAGTTTTTCATCTTTTTGTTTGTGAATGAGTGTTTGTGGTTAGCCCATCTTTTCTTCCATTCACCTTCTGCTAGGCCAATATATACTTTTTCTGGGGTATTAGGGGGGGGGGGATACTGTACATTTATAAATAACGTTGGAGGCTCTACATTTTCCTATTATAGGGCAGTTTACTTTATTTATGCAATTGCAGGGTGGGTATTCTTTTGGTTTTTTTGAACTGATTTTTATGTTGTGGCTTTTTATAATTTTTGCAATATTTTTGGTGCAGCTGTAACTCACTTTGATGGTGTTTCGATTGAATAGTTTACTTAGCAGGTGGGATGTTGGAAAATGTTTGTCGATTAAGTTTAGGAAGATATGTCCAACATTGGTAGAAATGCTTTTACTATATGGTTGAACCATATTATATATTTTTTTCTTTTTCTTTTCTTTTTTTCACTTTTTTGGGGATTATACTTTAAATTAAAACCAGTGAAGCCATTTCTTCTTAATTCATCTTCGTATTCTGGTATAGATAAATTAAATGTTTTTTTCATTTGAGGAATTTTGTGATAGTCTGTCGTTGATAGAGATAGGAATTTGCTTTATTATTTGCGGAGGATTGTTGGACTCAGTGTGGATGTAACGTAGATATTCATTTGGTTTTTTGAAAGGTTGGTAAGAGTTTTTTTCTAAGTTAAAGGAGACATCTAAGAAGTTGACTGCGGGTAGGTTTGTTTGAATCTCTATTTTAAAACCGATCATTTTTATAACTTTAATTATGTTTTTTTGTAGGCTATCAAATTGTGATCCAGTTTTTTTACGAAGAACTATCAAACCATCGTCACGATATAGTCCAACATCTTCTTTATTTATTATTTTAGATAGGGAATCTAATATATATAGGCCCACCAGTTCACAAACTTCTGCACTGTCAAAAAAACCCATTGTGACATCAAAGCAGTCGTGTGCTAAGTTTTTCTTCCATGTTTCTTTGTTAAAAAATAGCAAGGACTTTCTGCAATGTTTAATGACTCTGATGGTCTCTTTGCTAATACTTGTATGTTTTTTTGCAAACAGTATTGCATTACTTAGTCTTTTTGATGTAATATTGGTTTAAAAATCAATTTTTTTTTGTAATATATTTTTTATTTAACCTCTTCAAAAAAAAAAAAAAAATTATATATATATATATATATATATATATATATATATATATATATATATATATATATATATATATATATATATATATATATATATATATATACACACATATAACAGTAGAATAATTTTTATCATAGGTTTATCAATCAATGATTTGTACAGCCGGTGTCGAGAAATGTTTCTTGTTAATAGCGATCTTACCTTAAAAGCACAGTTAACAGAGTTTAAAGATCATAAACTCATAAAATTAAAAAAGGTATTAAAAGCAATTTATTACACTACTAACGCACATTGTTTTCATGACAACCATGTGTGAGTGTGTTTGTGTGTGTGAGTATATATATATATATATATATATATATATATATATATATATATATATATATATATATATATATATATATATATATATATACACACTACTAACGCATAAGTTTAATTTTGCTGTGAGCATATATTCAGCAAGAGTGCTCGATGAATATCAGAGCTATATAATTGATTTTTTAACAAGGTTAAATATATATATATATATATATATATATATATATATATATATATATATATATATATATATATATATATATATATATATATACAGCCAGAATTTACAAATCCAAAAAATAGTAGGCCAGTTTTAACAATTTATTAAACTTATTATTTATTAAACTAATATCTAAAAATATATTTCAACAAAATATATAACTTGAGAAAAAAATATAAGCCAAAAAAATACAGCTATAGAAAAACATAACTTATCAAAAAATAAAATAATTTTAACAAAAAAATTCAAAAACCAAACTTAGCCACCATAAATTAGCTTTAGAAAAAGATTACGATGAAGCTATAGATAAGCAAATCAAAACAAAAATTAAATATACAGAGTTCAAACAAAAGTATATCTATAGCAAAAATAAGTATAATAAATTAAGTTTGTTTCTTGTTGTGCTGATTTTTAAAGGCTTCTACTTCATCTTTTCGAATCTTTCTATTTTGAATTGATTGTTCATTATTATAAAATATATTAATAACAGTTGTGTGAGTATACTGTCTTCCTGTTTCTAAATGGTCAGAACACATAAAACAAATGTTATTTTTGAGCAGTTCAAGTGTAGCTAGAGCTGAATTTTTCAATTTGTTGGAATATTTAGTTAATAACAATTCTTTAGTGATGTCTAATATGCAAAATAAGGAGCAAACATATTCTACCATGTTTTCACTAGGTTAAGTTAACCCTCCCCTTGATAGTATTTCCATATAAAGTGAAGATATTTTGTTAGTTTGAAGAAGATCTTGACACAAAGAACATTTAAATTTGGATTTAATTTTTTTTTTTATATACCCAGCAACATGAATAACAACTTCCTTTGAACTTTCACATAAATCATAATCTTCTATTTTATTTTGTAATATAAGCAAAGCTGTTTCAAGTTCTTTTGCATCATTATTGACTGGTACTTTACTATTAAACCATGTATTCAATGCCAGAGTTTCTTTAATTAGAGATTTTATGCTAATTATTTTTTCAGAACTTTCAGCTTCACGCAAACTAACCAGAAACCTTCCGCCACTTATCTGCCTAAGTTTCCCAAAATGTTTTTCAAAAGGATCAGTTTAAAATCTACTGGTTAAAATGTAATCATATTCTTCTGAAAGTAAATCTTTGATTAAAGATGCAGGTCCTTATAATGTGACTATTAGTGCATTTGATGTCTGAGCTGAAAGTGACAATTTGTGACATCCCTCTAAAGTTGTATTATACCATTCACTTGCATATTGAGCAAAAGCATTTAAAAATTCAGGTTTTTGATTATTTTGATTTTCTTATTAGTATTATATATATATTCTTTGAATTTGAAATTGTTCACCAAGTATTTATCAAGTATAGCTCTTAACTCTTTCGAAAAATAACTTTTGATGGCAGAATATGTTGACTCGTGGAAAATTTGCAAAGCCAGTTTAAAACTTTGTTTATTTTTTCCTGGATGTAAACCAGTTGGAGTAAGTTTGTAAGTTTCTTTAAATTAGCAGGCAGTAAGTTATCTTTTTCATTAACTTGGTGAAATAACTGCCAACGAATATTTCCAGCTTCAACATTAATTGAATCCTCAAATTTATCAAAATTAAATTTTGGAAAAATAAATCTCTTTGAATGTAATAAATTATTACTGATGTTTTTTATTATTTATACATTATTTGATATGTACACTATCAAATAATGTATAAATTTATTTATTCCATAATAAAAAAAAAAGTTTTCAGTAGAATTATACTTTTTTATGAGTTTTTTAAATGCAAGTGTATTAGTTGAATGGTTGTCTGTGATGATAGCACGAATTTTAAAATTAGCATCAAAATGATTTGTTAGACACTCTTCAATTTCAGTCATCAACCAATTTCCAGAAATGCTTGTTTCATGACATGCTTTAACAACAAAAGGTATAGAACGTTTAATACCAACTGACAAAAGTTATAACTCCTGAATAAAGTTCTCCATTCTCATCTTTTTCAACAAATTTACCACCATGATATTGAACACTTTTTTGCAAGTACATTTCATCAATTAACAAAACTGAATCTGAGATTATTTTTTCTTCTTTTAATAAATATTTTAATGCTTTAACTGGTTCGATTGCTTTTAAATATGAAAATGAAGGAAAAGGAAATTCATCTTATAGCAAGTTATAGGCTTGTCTAGAGGTAAATCGTAGAACCAAAGCAAATCGAATAAGTTTATTACTATATAACTCTCTAATAAATTTTTCTTCGAAATGATCAATACATATTCCTGAGAATTTAGATGGTTTCCAGTTAATTCTGTTTATAAACTTGATCCACCGGGAGCATAAATTTACGTCTGTGGGAAAATTAAATACTGTTTTAGTAATAAAACCCTCTACAGTATCGTCATTTTTTTTCTTTTTGTAACCGCTTCTGCAAGGAACTACACAGTACTTTTAAGGCATTTTATAAGACAAATAAATAATGTAAAAAGATAAAATGAAAGTTTGTTTTTATTCTAATAACAATAATTGTAATTCTTTTGAGAACCACTTTAAGAAAATAAAGAACTTGGCTAAAAAGCATCAGGTCAGCAAAAAATTTAATACAAAGGCCTTACTGTATATATATATATATATATATATATATATATATATATATATATATATATATATATATATATATATATATATATATATATGTATGTATACATTGAGCATTCTCTGAGCTTTATCCCACTGAGCATTCCCCCACTGAGTATTATCTTCTCTGAATCACTTAAAGCTGGAGAAGTATCATCTCTATGGTAAAAAAGCGGAAATTACTCCTATTTTCAAAAAAGGCTGCAAGTTTAACCTCTCAAACTATCGCCCTATCTCACGCACTTCTGTCCCTTGCAAGGTAATGGAAAGCTTTTTACACAAACACATTACTGACCACCTAAACAAAAGTAAACTCATCACTTCTGCTCAACACGGGTTCCGAAAAGGAAAAGGTTTTGTCGCAAATCTACTCAAAACTTGCGACATCCTGACTGAAGCTGCCCGCAAAGGTTACCCAACCGATATCATACTCACAGACTTTGCTAAAGCATACGACAAAGTTCCGCACCGTCGTCTGCTGCACAAGCTAAAATCATATGGAGTGTCCGACAACTTGCACGATTGGATCAAAAGCTGCTAACCAACCGGCTACAATGCGTAACCATTGGTAACAATAAATCTAATTGGAAAACTGTCTCTAGCGGTGTGCCACAAGGATCTGTTCTTGGACCACTCCTGTTCCTTATCTACATTAACGATTTGCCAGACAAAATACAACACCACTTTAAAATGTATGCAGATGACAGTAAAATAATCGGAACTATAGAATCAAACCATGACATCATAAAACTCCAAGCTGATATCAACGAAGCAGTGAAATGATCGCACACTTGGCTCATATCATTTATTGTCGAAAAGTGCGAAGTCATGCACACCGGGCGCAGCAACAAAAAAAAATCGACTGCAATTTATACAATGATTAACCTGGACGGCCAACTGCACCAGCTATCATGCATATCATCTGGTAGTATCACGCTCAACTCGTTTCTCCGCGCAACAGCCTTGTTAATTAAGGTTCGTATTTCGGAGTTATAGAGTTGAGAGAGGGTTATAACCACAAATAAGTAACCTCCTCATCTGTAGTGGCCTTCTCGGCCTTGAGGAGATAAATTGACAAAAAAAAAAAAAAATCTGAAAGAGACCTAGGCGTTTTTATAACAAGCGATCTAAAAGTTAAAAAACAAGTCTGTGCGGATGCATCAGCTGGCAACTGAATGCTTGGTAGGCTCAAGAAGGCTTTTTGAGGTCAAGGTTCTGCATTATGACGCACATTGTATATTTCGTACATTCGCCCACACCTAGAATTCGCAGTACAGGCCACCGTTTTTAGCTCAAGACATTGCCAAACTTGAGTAAGTTCAACACCGAGCCTCAAAACATATTGCCTTCCTTAAACACCTTTCGTATGCTCAAAGACTATCAAGCCTTAACTTGACAAAGCCTTAACCTGACAACTGAACGACGAGAAAAAGGAGACCTTATCAAACATTATAAAATCATCACCAAAATTGATAAAGTTAACTTTCACGTCCCTCAACTTCAACCTAACACGGAATCTTCAAAGTACAGTTTTTGGCCGCGTGGATACACTAAAGTACTAAGAGTACAACTTATCCGAAACTGCGCTGAAAGAAGCAACTTCTTCACCAACCGTATTATAAGATTATTTGCGGTCGACGCAAAGAACTTTAAACAATTTTAAACACGAACTTTCTCTGCTACGGCATCTTCACTTAAACTGAAATTGAAAAGCTGTATTTTCATAACAGAGAGGCCTGGTGTGCCGCTCTTTGTCAAAAAAAAATTTGTAAATTTATTTATATATATATGTACATAATTTATATATATATATATGTACAGTCAGCAAAATTCAGGTCGGCATTCGGCAATGCTGACGCAAAAGCCGACCTACCTGTGCTTTAGGACGGCATACAACTGCCGACCTGAATATCCTTATTAACCTGAATAAGCTTATTTTCCATATATATATATATATATATATATACATATATATATATATATATATATATATATATATATATATATATATATATATATATATATATATATATATATATATATATATATATATATATATATATATATATATATATATATATATATATATATATATATATATATATATATATATATATATATATATGGAAAATAAGCTTATTCAGGTTAATAAGGAGATGACAAAAATTTTCTCTTGAATTCTTTCAACTTTTATTTTGAGTTATAAGGTGCACTATTATAACACTATTATACTTTCAATTCAAAAATTATATTTTTATTGCTATAATGAAACTTTTGGAAACAAATGGTCTGATGTTGTATGTTCTATGCTGCATGATTTTAAATTATATTAAATATTAACTTTTAATATTTCATAATCTTTAATATTATGAACAAACCAAGAAGTTTGGTTTTGAAACTCTGCAAATTTCAGAAACTTTCCTTGTATCATGTTTATATACAATGTTGAATTGTTATAGTTTTTTGTAAGATCGTCTAGTGTTTCTGCAAGAAACTTTTGATTTGCAATGGCCTATGTTTCTGTCACATTTTTTAAAGGTATAATGCCTATACATAATGTGATAGAGTTCTAATTGGTAATGAAAGAGCAATGCTGTCAAGTTTTTCAGTTTTATAAACTATATAATAAAATCAAATTAAAACTTTTCATTTTGTATTTTGCCTAGCACTTAAATTGAAAGTCAATTTGATATCCTTTACACTTGAGACAATTGATAATTTAAAATCATGCAGCATAGAACATACAACATCAGACCATTTGTTTCCAAAAGTTTCATCATAGCAATAAAAATATAATTTTTGAATTGAAAGTATAATAGTGTTATAATAGTACACCTTATAACTTAAAATAAAAGTTGAAATAATTCTAGAGAAAATTTTTGTCATTATAAAATAAAGCTTATTTTACATATATATATATATATATATATATATATATATATATATATATATATATATATATATATATATATATATATATATATATATATATTATATATATATATATATATATATATATATATATATATATATATATATATATATATATATATATATTATGTTCGTGTTTTCTACGAATAGAGTGCTCAATATTCTTAAAGAACATGCCAATAACAAATTAGTAAAAACACTTATTCTAATTTTATCTTCGACAACTTGTTTTTTACCTCAAAAATTTTTGATAATGCCGTTATATTGATATTGATATTGCACATTATTATTTTAGGGGTCAGATGGTGTGGAATATTTGTTTGTAGCTGTAGATGAGTCTACATTAAAAGAGTTTCTTACTAATGAAGAGGAATATATGAAATAAAACTATCAAAAAATCGGATATTTTAAACTATTAAAATATGTTTATCTCGAGAATAACGACAAAAAAGAAAGTTTCAAATTTATTTATACGGACATCTGATGAATTCAGTTATTGACGAATTATTATTGATGCAATAAATATTGATGACGAAATAATGATCATTGTTGCTGCTAAATCATGATCTATCGTAGTCTATCTTTATCGTTCACAACCGTTAAATAATAATTGGTTATAATTGTTCATGATCAATTTTAGTAATTAAAGAAAACTTGTACATGCATTCTTCAAAATGTTTCTATTTTGTTTGCTTTGTTAAAATATTGTGATGATTATTGCGCTCATTTTTAATTAATTTTAATGCATTAAATTCGTTAAAAGTTATTATAATTTTATTTTGTTTATTATTAGATTTATTATTTTTTATAATTTTTATTAGATTTATTATTTTTATAATAGTTAATTGTTGTTAAGTATGAACAAGCAAGACAATAAGCTATATTAACGAGTTGAAAATACATTGATATCCCTTGGCAATAAATTTTCTCCTAATTGGTATGACCTGATGTCTGATGATCTGATGATTAATGTGTATTAAACTCTTATAGACTAATAATGTTTTATTAAAAATCTTTTGATGAATTGAATTTTAAAAATTCTGGATGAATGTTAAACAGTTTCCAAAAGCAATTGAAGTTCAACAACAAATTTCATCTAATAATCTCTTAGTTTTTGAAAGTTTTGAAAGTTATCTTTCAATCTTATCTTATCTTACAATCAATCTTATCTTACAATTAAGTTTTATATTTTTAACTCTAACAGATAATGGAAATTTAAAATCTGTTGATATTTAGTTTCAACTAGTAAAAGAAAAAGAAAATTTTTTAATTTGTAATTTCGACTCAACATTTCGAGCCTCAAAAAAATTATAAGACGCTGTAAGAATCTTTTGCTTTGTTTAATTTTTTTATTACAATTGGTTGATAAGTAATTATTCAATTAAGTTTGATTTTGTAATTTATTTTATAAATTACAAAATCAAATTATAAAATATTTAGAAGGACGATAGATTATCAGTTAATCAGCTATTTACGTTCTGTGCGTTACCTGATGCGTCAGTATTTATATCTTCTATATTTACATGATGAATACTTACAACATTGATATTTGTGTTATATATATATTTTTAGTGTTTTATATATATATATATATATATATATATATATATATATATATATATATATATATATATATATATATATATATATATATATGTAAGTAACAACGGTTGAAAATTAAAAAAATCTTAGTAGTTATTGCGCTATGACTTCTAATTTCTTTTGTATTAAAACAAGCATCTCGCGTTACTTGTTATTAAAAACAAGTAATGCGAGATGCTTGTTTAAATAGAAAATATCATATCTGCATTTTAAGCTTGATATGAAATGCAGATATGATATCTTCTAGGTCGGTGGAATCCAATACCCGTTTTTCTATTTGAATAATAGAAAGATTTGAAAGATGTTTCTGACCTATTAAATAATGAATGAATAGAAGATTATATATAACTTTAAAAATTCGAAAATATACGAGTTTAATATAATGTGTGGTTGACGTTTTGTTTTAGTATCAACAATACGTGCCCTCAGTTCATCAAGCTTTAAAGTATTTAGCGAATAAGAGTTGTTAGCCCAGAAACGTAGTTCAGAAATAGGTTTGGAAGTAAGAAAATTAAGCTGAGGTGGTTTAGTTTGGGTTTTGAGGGGGCTTTATTAATTATTGGCAGCAAAATTGATCTTTCTTGTTAAGGCACTGAGCTGTTGTTTTGTGTAGATTTTTATGCGTCACAAAGTTATGCTTTTTCCAAATCAACTATATATATATATATATATATATATATATATATATATATATATATATATATATATATATATATATCTATATATATATATATATATATATATATATATATATATATATATATATATATATATATATATATATATATATATATATATATATATATATATATATATATAGGTCGTTCTTGTTGAGACACTGAGACGTTGTTTTGCTACTTTGACTGTTTTTTAAACTTCATTGTATTTAGCAAAGATTTTGTAATGGCAGATTTTTTATTGTCAATTGGTTTGATGGTAAATTATTGTCGGGGGAGGGTGTCTGAACCTGAAGATTTTGTAAAAAGAATATATTTGCTTTTTTCTACGTTTAGGGAGAGTTTTTTGGCCTTAAACCATTTGATTTTTTAGCTTTTGATAAGACATTTGTCAAAGCATTCCAACCATCAAAAAGAATTTAGAACAGTTTATCTTCATTTGTTGCTAAAATATATTTGCTTTTTTCTACGTTTAGGGAGAGTTTTTTGGCCTTAAACCATTTGATTTTTTAGCTTTTGATAAGACATTTGTCAAAGCATTCCAACCATCAAAAAGAATTTAGAACAGTTTATCTTCATTTGTTGCCAAACAATCTTGCAATTTTCTATCCAATATAAGAACAAAAATTTTCTATTATATTTAAATCAGGAGACTGTGCTCTAACTGTGCTGGCCAAGACATAACTGGTATTAACTTTGATTCCAGATATCTTTAATTTATTTTGCTGTATGTTTGGGATCAATAAGCTTACCAACTTTGTGTGCACTAAAACAACCCTAAACATTAATATTTTTGTCATGTTTAATGGTTGCCTTGCATGTTTAGGGGTTGAACTTTTCCCCAATTAATTTCAAGCAGTGAGATCAACCATTATAAAACATAACAAAAGGAGACTCATTACTCAAATAATTTTAGCCCATTGCTCATGTGTCCAATCTTTGTGCTCAATGCACCGCTTTAATTTTTTTTTTTTTTTTTTTTTGCGATTGATTTCACTTAAAAAGAGTTTTTTTATTTGCTTTCCAGCAAAAAACTCACCTGATGCTTTTGTTCAACGAGATATTGCTCATTTTGAGATATTATTTAGGTTCAAATTTAGTTTTATCTCAGAGCATGTAATTTTATAATCTTTTTTGACGATATTAAGTTCTCGGCTTTCTCCCAGATCCGACAGACCTTTCTGCTGTACCAGTGTGTTTATATTTTTTAATACCAATCCACTAATAGTTGAGTTTTGTTATTTTTCTAATGCTTCTGTGAAACTCTCCAAAAGGTCAGTAATTTCAATAATTCGTCCCATTTCTATATTTATTAAATTTTATATTTATAGAAGTTTTTTTCTAAAATATTAAATTTGTTTCTATTAATCTGTTTTAAAGATTTTATTTAAATGAATATTTAAGTGTATATATATAAACATACCTTTTTGATCCATGACTTGTCACTACCACACCCAATTTTTTTAGTTTTGCTTCATTATACATAATATACTTAAAATCAAGAAAAAAAGTGTTTGTTTTTTTTTTTTTGCACCCCACTGTATATATTTCGTCAATGAGCAAATCTTTCTACAATGTACTTGTAAAAAATAAAAAAACCTTTAATCTCTGAAAGGAGCAAGCAGAGGACAATACATTTTATCACCTTGTTCCTAAGGTAGAAAAATAGTTTTACTAAAATATAAAATTAGCTCTTACATATTTAGGAGTTAAACATTCATACATATATTTGTAAATGCATAACAAAATAAATAAAATATAAAAAAACAAGTTGAAAATACAAAAAAAAAAAAAAATGCTTTTTGGTTAGAACAAATGTTGTTTCACAATTTTTTTAAATGCTTTTATTGTGGTAATAGATTTTATGTCATTATTCAGGATCGAGTTCCACAGACGTGTGACCACGACAAGTAATTGAGTAGTCCGATTTCCTTAATTAATCATAAATACTCAACAAGTCATTTTATTGGAAATTTTTATGTCAAGAGAGCATCAATAAAAAAAATCGTCTGTTTTTATTAACCAAATGCTTTTTTTTTTTAACTATGAAAATAGATAAGCCATCTTTAGTAAAAAAATGTTTCTTCTCTGAAGTGCTTCATTTTGGACAACTTTCTCCTACCTTATACTGTTTATTATTAATAGTTTTATTACTGGTTATTAATAATTTTTTGATAGATGAAAAGTCCGTAGGATGCAGCTATGGCTGTATATTAACTGATACCCATAGACTCAGCGGAGTGTACATTCATCGACTGGCTTGATTAGGAATAAACTCAGTGAAGTAAATATACATTGACAAGAAAAATCAAAGCTATCAAAAAAATATTTACAGTATTTTTTTGATATAAAAATATGGTACAGTTTTAATTTTAAAAAATCCTGCACATATTTTAAAATACTTTGTTTATTTAACGTTTACTTTTACTCTCAACAAACAGATTTCTTTACAAACTATATTTTTACTATAAATTTCTTTATAACTTTTTCAAAACAGATTTCAGATTTCAATTGTTTGTGCAGTATAGTTGTTTTTGCATTCGCTTCTCATATTACAAAAATTCTGCATATTTTTGGTGTTTTTAGTTTCTACCAAGGCTGAACTCACTGGGTATACAAAGACTGGGTATTCCTCTATTATTTTTAATGACAATCAGAAGATAAAACTTCCAGATTTTTATACTTTCATTTAAAGATAATGACGGTGTTGGCGGAGGAGGAGAGTTTGAGCTTTTTATTAAATTAAATCATTTTATTTAAAGATTTTTTTTTTTTTTTTATTTCTATTTTTTTGTTGTATTTTTACCTTTTATTTTTGTCTTTTATTATTTTTGTTTTTATTCTTACTATTCTCGTTTTATCTAGTATATATTTTTCTTTTTTTAGTTATTAGGCGTTTAATCTATATGCATAATAATCGTAGCTAAAAAGTTTCATTACACACGATGCGCTACGATACGCGACGATAACTTTTGTTAAAAATGTGAAATTTTTATTATTAAATATTAAGCGTTAAAAATTAAAATAAAAAAATACACAATTTTTCTGAATATATTTATTATAATAATTTTATATGAATTACATCATATTTCTTAGATGACTATTTAAAGCTATGGCCCCCCTTCCCTAAGTAGTATTTAATTTCTTTTCTGCAAAGCTCATTTTTGACATATTTAAATTTCTGAATAAAAGCTGCACGGTTGGATAAATCAAATTCATTGGACCGTGTTTATTTTAAACAATTCAGGGGGTCAAAAAAAATTTCAAGTTAACGTAAAAGTTATACTATTTTTATACTACCGAACTAAATATTCTTCTAAAATAACATATATAGACACATATATATACATACATATATACACATATTATCAACAAAGAAGATTAAAGTGTTATTCAAAAAGTAATCAGAAAATTAAGCTTAACGAATATTTTTGGTTTTTGATATAACATATTTTAAAGTAATTGAAATATTGATCAAACGTTTTACATATAACAAAATTTCTACCCCCTGTATGAATTATATGAGAAAATGGGCAACCCAATGATTTCATAATAACGCAACTGGTTTAGTATACAGCTTGATCAGTTTTGAAAATAATTCTGGGCTTGAAAACTTGCCAAGGTAGGTGGTGATAATTTATAATGAGATACTTTCAAAAATTTAAAAGTTATAATAAAAATAAGTTGTACATGTTATTTAAATAAAAATATAAATATTATTTAAAAAATATGTTTATATAAAAGTTTAAATTATTAAATTGTTATTTTATTCATGTTTGATTTAAAGTTTTGTAACCCTAGCAACAATTTAAAGCCCTAAGAAACCCTAATTTAAAATTACAAACAATTTGATAATTTTTTTATATTTTAATTATTGTGATCTGATTGAATGAGTTTAACCTTAGATGTTAAAGGATTATTTTATTTAGATGAACGGGAGGATTATCCTGACGCTTGCTCTAGTAGCGTGTATTCTGATTGTTTCTCTTGATGCCAAGCCAGTTAAGAAAGACAAAAAAAAAGAAAAGAAACACGTCGAAAAACAACAAGCTAAACATGTGAAAAAAGCTTTAAGTAAGATTTTTAACATTTTTGCCAAAAGTTATTTATTACTAAAATAATTTGTAAAACATGGTTGTTTTTATTTTTATTTTTTTTCCAACAGCGCCCCCAGAAAAGAAAAAGCAATTTGCTAATAACGATGAACAACAGTCTGATGATGCTGTTGATCCGGATGTAGCGGCAGATGATGCTGCTGCTGCTCCAGCTCCAGAGGCTCCTGCTGATGACACCCAAGAGCAAGCTGCAGAACCAACAGCCGATGCACCACAACCAGATCCTAATGCAAAGTAAGCTGTTATCTTTATTTTAATAAGTTGTAAAGTGCTATTTAGTCTTTCCTTAATCTGTTATGAATTTTGATCAATTTCTTTTTAAGTCATAAAATATTATTAGCTAAACACGTGATAGCTAAACAAGTGATAGCTAAGCACGTGACAATTTTGTTTGTTACATTTATTTTAGTTATGTTAGTTATTATATTAAAGTATATTAACTATATACCTTAAAAAGTTACGGTTAAAGTTAAAATGAAAATTTTTTTTTTTAGTCTTGACGATTTACCTGACGATCAAGAAGCTCCAGCCCCTCCACCACCACCACCACCACCACCAGCAACTGATGATGATGACACTTCCGGAAGTGGTAAGTTTATCTAAAACACTTTTTTTTGTGTACTAAGAGTTCAGTAGATGCACATTCATTACATCAATCACATTAACAATCCAATTTAGCATGAAATTTCGTTAATCAATTGAGACCTAATGTCTTTATTTGTTTTGTAATAGGCGCACCCCCATTAGATGTTTCAATACCCAAACCGCTTCCACGCTTATGCCCAGGAGACTGTGACCCAGAATGTGCTCCTGCATGTCATGATTTTTGTTGCAATGGCCATCCAGATATGGCAAGATATGCTGCAAACCAGCAACAAATGCAGTGCAGTCCTTCTTGCGCACCATCCTATAATCCCTCCTGTTGCTCTTCAATGCAATCGTCCCTTCCTATGCAGTTGCCAAATTTACAATCACAATGCAGTCCATCATGCGCACCTACCTATAATCCTTCCTGTTGCTCTTCTATGCAATCCTACGCTCCTATGCAGGTACCAAATCAACAATCACAATGCAATCCTTCTTGCGCGCCTACATATAGTCCCTCTTGCTGCTCCACTTCCATGCAACCACCTGCTCCAATGCCAATGCTACCAATGCAAACTTATACCCAACCAATATGTTCTCAACCACCTTGTTTACCTTATCAAACAAATTCACAAGTTACATGCTCTCAACCTCCCTGTACTATTCCAATGCAAACCACAACATGTCAAATTCCCCCATCATGTCAGATTCCTCCAGCCCCAACTAATTGCGGCGTTGGTTTACAGCGCTGCGTACCTGCCCAAGCTCCTCCGTTACCAGCAGGATGTGTGGTGCCACAAGGTTGCTCTATGCCACCTCCACCATTACAGTGTCTCCCACCTGGAGCTTGTTTGCCAGAACATCTTCCAGGGCCTATAATAAAATCAAAGCCAATTGAGTTAACTATTAGTTGTTCAACACCTCCTTGTGTTCAACCTCAACCTGCTCAGATACCATGCCTTTATCCATGCGCACAATACCCACAACAATATTTGCAACCAAATAGCGCTCAGTCTCCTTGTACATATCCATGCGGTCAACAAATGCCCGTTTTTAGTCCCCAACAACCATGTGGGTTTTCATGTGTACAGCAAGCTCCACAGCAAGCTATACAACAAAATCCTTGTGCTTCTCCTTGTGTTCAAACTCCTATGCAGCAACCATGTGGACCCTCTTGCGGGCAACAAACTCCAAGTCAGCAACCTTGCAGCTTCCCCTGCACTCAACAAGTGTCTCTTCCACAAACCCCTTGTCTTTCAGGCGCTCAATGTTTAAACCAACAACCTGCATGCTCTTCTTTGTGCAAACGTGTATGCTCACCAAAATGTCCAAAACATTGTTGCATATCAAAAAAATCAAAACAACAAAAAAAGAAAAAAATTGCATAAAAAAATTAAAAATTTAATTTATTAATAAAGTCTGTAAATACCATACATAGAGTTTCTTACTAAACATTTTAGGTATACTGCCTCCTCCTCCTCCTCCTCCTCCACCACCTCCTCCTTGTGAAACACCGTGTGCTTTACCTCCCCCTCCTCCACCACCTATGGATATGGGTTGTGCTCCTAGTTGCAATATGGCAATGCAGATGCCAATGCAGCCCCCACCTATGATGCCAGTTCAACAAGGTTGTATGGGATGTGCGCAACCACCACCTATGATGCCAATGCAGCAAGGTTGTATGGGCTGTGCTCAGCCCCCACCCATGATGCCAATGCAGCAAGGTTGTATGGGATGTGCCCAACCCCCACCCATGATGCCAATGCAAATGCCAATGCAACAAGGTTGTAGCAGTGGATGCGGTCAATCTCCACCTCAGTTACCAATGATGCAGCAAGGTTGTATGGGTTGCAGCCAACCCCCACCAATGATGCCCTCCTGCGATGCATGCAAGAAGTTCTGCACCAAAGGTTGTTCAAAGAAGTGTTGTAAAAAAAGGACTAACGAAAAGAACGCTAAAAAAGGAAAGAAAGTCAAACACTGAAACTGCTAGAATAGTTACACAAATAAAGGAGTATACATTTTAGACACGAAATAATTTTATATGCAGTTTTTTTTTTACGATCTTATAAATTTTATGCATATACATTTTTTTAAAAAAAAATTCTGGAATTTATTTTCAGAAACATTTCACTTTTGAATTTTATAAAATATTAAATAACAGTCTTTAAACATTATAGTATTCAAAAGTGAAACGTTTAAGACGTTATCCAATTATTTTTAATTATAACGCCTTTTTTTTTTGTTTATATATATATACAGAAGGGAGCAGATAGTCAGAATTCTGACTGCAAAGCATTCTACATCCTTTATTTTTTGTATATAACAAAAATGTTATACGCTGTGCGCCATAACGCCATAGCATTTTGTAAACTTAAAAAAATCCAAAAGGCTATCTTTTCCTTTCACTTAAAAAACTAGAATGCAGTTTTTCTGCTCCTTTCATCTTAGAGCCACCCCAGAAAGTTGTGGCGTCCCACGTACCAGTACTGTTTGGTGGTCACATGAGACCTGGCCCACCATCTGAAACTATCCCAAATCCAGCACCTCGTTTCTGTGAAGGAAACTGCCCTCAAGAATGCGCTCCTGCATGCTATGACTGGTGTTGTTTTAATTCAGTGCAAGCACCTGTACCGTCTTATACTTTGATGATGGTACCAGAAAATAAGCCTCCAGTACAACCGGCAGCTCCAGCACCTTTAGCTTATCCTATGGCCAATCAACTGCCATGCACATTGGCACCTTGTGCTTCAAAAAAAAACGAAGTTACAAAAAAAAATCAACAACATCAAGTGCATCTGCTAAAAACAAGATTTTAACAAAGCCTACATAAGAAATATTTTCAGCTAATAACCTTAATTTTCATGAACCTTTCCAAATCCCAACTCCCAACCTCTACTTTCAAAATATTGTAAAACAATGTAAACTGAATTTTTTTTATTCTAATACTATCTCCAATTCATTAAAACTTGCATTATTTTTAAACAAATTTTATAAACAAAAATAAGCTAATAAAAAAAAAATTAATAAGTTTAATTTAGTCATGTTTGAATGAAAAAAAGTAAAAACTTCATTTTTCATTTTTGTTTGATTTAAATTTTTGGTTCAAATTATTTTTGAGCTGTTAAAATTAGTCACAAACATAAAAAAAAAACATTTTAGAAAACATTTCACCTTATAACATTTTAGCGTATTTGTGAGAATTTTTTTTTTTGTGACTTTATTATTCGAATGTTTAATTTTATTTAACAATTTACATCAATACCATTCAATATCAAGCTTCTTTTTTCTTATAATTCATGCAGGAGTATTGCCACCAGTTACTGATGGATCTAAACCACCACCACCACCACAACCCGCATGTCCACCACCACCACCTGGATGCGGCCCACCACCACCATGCCCACCACCACCTGCACCATGTCCACCTCCTCCTCCACCACCACCAGTGTGTCCACCACCACCTCCAATGTGCGCTCCTCCACCACCTCCGCCACCTCCACCACCACCACCACCACCACCACCACCTCCACCACCACCACCTCCTCCACCACCACCACCAGTAGTTTTTTGCCCACCTCCACCACCATGTCCTCCACCACCAGCACCATGCCCACCTCCACCTCCACCACCACCAATGTGCTTACCTCCTCCACCACCTCCACCACCCCCACCTCCACCATGCCCACTTCCACCTCCACCTCCACCATGCCCACCTCCACCAGCACCTTGCCCACCACCTCCACCACCTCCTGCTTGTCCAGCACCAATGCCAATGCCCTGCGATTTTGGATGCAAGAAATCCCTCAACAAGAAGAAACATCTCAAAAGCAAGAAATCAAAGAAATCAAAAAAGAAGCATGTCAAGCACTGAACAAGAGCATGCATGTAAATGTGAATAAAGTCAAAAAAAAAATTCTTACTGCGGCGTAAGAAACAAGCATTTGTTTTATAATTGAGGGCTATTTTTATGAAATCAATCTATTTAAAAAAACTCAATCTAACTTTATTGATTTAATTCACAATAAAAATATAATATCAACAGCAGTTATTATTAAAGGAGAATAAGAAAACTGATGCATCTAACATGCAAGAATAAGTAACAACTGCTAGGAGATTTTTTCTCCAACAAAAGCCTTTTTGTTTTATAAACAAAAGTTTTTGTCTCACTAGCAAACTTTAAATGCACTACAAACTATTAATAAAAAAAAAATGAAATCCGCTAATGGATTGCACAAAAATATGCTTTTAAAATTTGTTAAAGAGAGTTCTCAAAAGATTTAGTGCAACTAGTCGGTTTGCAATGAGGTCATTTATATATATTGCGTTAGCAATAAAGAGTAAATAAATTCCTGTCCTACACAAAGTCATCGGTTGAAAAAACTATTATAAATTTGCATTTCAATGCATTTTTTTTTCCGTAAGCTCAACGTAAACTAAATTAATATAAATAAAATCAAAAGTAACCTTGTTTAATAATTGTTTAATAAACCTTGTAACTTGGAACTGGCAAGATGGTGCAATTGTAACTTGGAACTGGTAAGATGGTGCAATTATTTGCAAATAAATACGTATTATGAGTAGAGGTACTAAAAAAAGTCTTTAATATGTTATATAAAACTTAATATCGCACATTTTAACATTTAGTGCAATTTCTGCCCGCTTATTATGTGTTATCTTTCTAACTCGAATGCTTCTAACTTTCACTCTTACTTACTTTGTTCTTCCTAGTGGTCATCGATGCTCTTTAGTGAGATGAACTTGTCTTTGAGGGCCTTGGTATGTGGCCCCCAAATGGAAATTAGCCGGAGAATAAACCACAATACCAAAAATGTATTATAGATAAGTAAAATAGATAATAATTGCGTCTCAGCCTAATGGCTAAAATCAAGTAAAGTATCTGCTTTTTATTGTATCTAACTGCTTTTTGGTTGCTTACGGACCTGTTAGAGAACAGGTATAGCATAAGATTAAAACAGTGACAATTGATTAGGGGTTTAAGGTGGAGTCGCTTATTCTTTGTCACCTTTTACGTTCGGAAATCTAAAAGCACTTTGTACTTACCGGACGTAAAGCGATATCAAACCATTTAGTTAGCGCTGCTAGACGTAGACTAGTGGCAATTTATAAATTCTGAAGTGGTTCAAATACGGAGTTTCAGCTTCCATATAACCCAACCTTCTGGGGACCTGCGTAATTCTAATTTTAGTTGCTGGTGTCAATGGCTACTCGAGAAAAAAAAATTATGCATAATAAAGAAAAAACTTTAAACTACATAACTTCAGTTGTTATGTAGTTTACAACGGAAAAGTCGTGAATTAATAACCATTCATCTCGCCTCAAATCTCACAATCCTATCATTGCTAAAACCAGCCTTGCTTTTGCCAAACTTTAGTTATAAGTTTTTTCTGAAATGTCGGTTTTGGTTTTGGTATTAGTACAGTATACCCATAATTTTTATTTTGGTTTCGGCGTACATTCAGTTTCAGCCGATCACTAAAAACTATGCTCAATGCAGTTTTTATATGCATCAATGCATCATACATTTGTTTGTTTGTATGATGCTTGAATAAAATTCTATAACTAACCTATATTTGCATAAAATATGCATATTGCATAAAATATGCAAATAGTTTTTAGTTTAGTTTTAGTAGTTTATTGTAATTTATAGTAGTTTTTTATTTAAGTATATTTTATCGAGCAGTATAAAACTTTGTCAGATAAACTGCCATTACAACTAACGAAGATTTTTTTACAATCTAATGAAAATTCTGTACAATCTAGTGAAAATTTGAAAACAACAATACTGTTGTTGCATTAACAGAGTTGTTGCTATTGCAAATAAAGCTGAAACAAGTGGTAAAACATTGTGTCATTACTAATAAAAAAAAACACATTGGTTTTAACTACCAGGTCACTGTTGTAGATAAAAAAAGCAAGTGATGATATTTAACTTCTAAAAACAAAAAAAAATTTCCAAGGCTCGGTTTCATTTCGTTGCAAAATATATTTAAAAAAAGACTAGTTTTTATTTTCAAACAAATTTCTCTTCTAAATTTAAAATTATTTAAGTTTTATACAATTTTAAAACTATTTAAGACCTTAAATGCCTATTTTGTATAAATAGTATTTCGTAATAATAAAAGTCCTTTCAAAATTGCCAAATGATGTCACTAAAAACATACCTGTAACGCTATCAAAATGCACAAAATGGTAACCTTAACAAAAAATATTCAAACATCGTAAAGTTTAAAAAAAGAAATTTAGAAACAAATAAGTACAAATAAGTATAAATAGAAGATATAAAGAAATATAAAGAAAACTTGTATTATCGCATACTTGTACAAAAGTTTAAGTTCCGTCACGTACAAATTTGACGTTGTATAAAAAACATTATCTC